CCCCCCCCTCAGCAATTGACCAGTGATGTCGGAGCACGACGGGGCAGGCCCAACAGGTTCCATACAAGATTTCAAGCTCTTCTTGAACGGTCACCGCAACGTAACGCATCGATACTGGAACACCGCTGCAGCCAATCGAAGTATGCCAGCAACTGAGACCTACTTGCGCAATACCACTACGTATGCCCAGATGAAGTTGATACCTTCCATCAGCACCAAAAACGAGCAGCACTACAATCCCAACACATGCGGTCTATTCTTGGGTCGTCATAAGACAAAGTTTATATAATCCTTGGGACACGGAGAGTAACCATGCTCCGTTGTCTGTGCAATATTGCCGTGTCCTCTACGGTTATTATCACATATAGCTTGTTAGATTTATAGTACCAGCTCCGGACTGGTAGGGATTGTGAGACTGTTTTGTGTCTTGCATGGTTAGGACCGCGGACTTCCGACGACTGCTTCTGGCAGGTCTGTGCCGGCATCGTTCGCCTGCAAAGATGATGCCGATGTTTTGACGGTGGCTTCTCTACCCTGGTTGACCTGAAACGTCAAGACTACGGAGGAGGTACGAGAACGTTAATGCGGAAAACACATGCAGAAAGCATGTGGTGGATCTCGATTTCGAGTTACCAAGAAGCCACCATGATGCCTGGATTTGCTATTGTGTGTCGCTGATGCTGAGTCTTGAGCATCTTTGCATGGTTGGCTGTCTGCACGCGTGTATATTCTGTTGACCTGGCATGTGAATGCCACTAGATCAAGCCAGCTCCGTCAACACAGGAAGCTGCGAGGAAGCTGCGATGAAGCCGCAACTCAAGCTTCGCAAAATAAACTCCAAGCAAGAAGATGCCCCTAGCTTTGAAACCGAAGCAGATATGGAATGAATTCGCATCATCCGCCTGGGTTCTTCTCACCTAAGAAAGGGTTGTTTGCTCGGTTTTCGAATTCGCAGCAGTCTCGACGTGTTGCGAGACCTCTCATCAACCATGTAGCAACTTCTGACGACCTCTGTAGTCAGTAGCGAATCATGAAACCACATGCATCATGGTGCCTGCTGGTTGAAGCTGAGTGATCATGGACGCAAACTGGCGAATGACGTTCGTCGCTCCCCACCTTGCAACCCCACCCGCACTGACCTCCAGTGACGCACCAATGCACAATGCACTCTGAAGCTACTCGATCCACTCATGAGGCTGCGCAGACTCGTACGCTATGCTCGCGTTACTCAGGCTGCGAAGCTGCCTATAGCCTACAACCTCAAACACTACCAATATCAAAGTCTACCGTCGCCCACTTGCATACGTCTGTTGGAGCTCTTACCAACTGCAAGCAATGGCGTCATACGTTGTTCCCTGAAGACGACTGAGCTGGAGGACGCACCTTCCTTTAAAGCCCTTTCTTACACATGGGGAAGCTCGCGTACCTCCATTCCACCAACATCAACACATGGAGGGACGGGTCCAAAGTCTCTGTTGACTACAAGAGTGAACTCGGCCCGTCAACACACCATCATCTGCGATGATCGCTTTGTCAAGGTCAATAGCAATCTTTGGGATGCACTTCTCATGCTCAGCAATGCAGTCAACATGCCACACATGCCGAAAACACCCACCTACTACTGGATAGACTTTTTGTGTGTGAACCAGACAAACATTGAAGAAAGAAATGTGCAAGTCGCCAGCATGGCCGACGTGTTCAAAAAAGCAGATGGTGTTGTAGTCTGGTTAGGCAAAGAGGACCAATACACACAAGACGCTCTTACCACGATGCAGAGGATATCGTCGACTCCTGAGGAAAAATGGTCGCTAGTGCCGTACACCTCATTTTATAATCCAGAAGAGAGTCCGTTGGTCTTTGCTACTAGGCTCACCTTCTATAACTGGCTAGGTTTCATAGTCCTCATTAATCGCCCATGGTTCAAGAGGGCCTGGGTAAGCCCGCAGCAAGCGTATACCTGTACGACTTATAGCTGACTCCTCCAGGTCATTCAAGAAATCGCGCTTGGCAAGACAGCCCTGGTGGTTTGTGGTAGCAAGGTATTTCCCTGGGAACTTCTATCCAAAACACTGTCTTTTGTCAAGATTACGCGATGGTATCATCATCTGCGTTCAGAGAAGCTGAGGCACGTGAAAGAGTTGCGGAATCAGCCCGGTATCTATAGGCAAGTCCTTAAGTCGAAACTGGAAGTCGGAATCAGCCCTCTGAATCTTAATTCCACTCGACTGTCCACATCGCTATTGGCCGAGACGAACAGCCAGATGGCTAATCACTCATCTCTTCGAAACCTCCTAGACAAGCATCGCTTTGCCGAATCCTCAGATCCAAGGGATAAGGTCTATGCTTTCCTCGGCCTTGCCAATAAGAGCCTATCACCCTTCCGTACGCAGCCAAATGTGCTTATTCCAGACTATAATCTCAGTGTGCAAGAAGTCTACACCGAAACCGCAACCGTTCTTATGTCTTCCTATAAGAATCTTTCCTGGCTATCGCACGTGGAAGACGCTTCACAAAGACAGATATCCAATCTACCGTCCTGGGTGCCTGACCTTAGTGTATCGCTCCAACCATATCCGCTCCGCTACCGTGGTCCCGCACATTGGGCAGCTGCTGGTAGCCACCATTGGCGTCCAGCTATAACAAACATGAGGAAGGGATTACTTCGGGTCCAAGGGATACAATTAGACCATATTGATCAGACTTCACTACTTATCGACGAATCAGAAGATCCTTCTGCAGGATGGGCAAGCATCGTGCATCTAGCTCTTTCTCTTGACTCTCCTTATCCAGACCCCAGTGCCACTGGCAAGACACCATCGCGTGTCGAGGTACTATGGCGGACACTGACTACCGACATCTACAACCACACATACCCATCTCCACCGGAAACGGGCTTGCTGTTCATCGACTACATTCTCAACCTCCAAATCAGACATCGCTTGACACCATGGTCCAGCGCTGATGAATTCCAACCCCATCATTCTCCACTATCAGATTTCATATATCCTGATTGGCGCAAGCTCTTCGAGCTTGAACCTCCAGACTCACAATACAGACTGAGCTCGTATACTAAGCGCTTAACTACGGTCGTGGAGAGTATGTTCAATGGCACGTACTCGCCAATCGGACTCGCACAGCTGCAACACGAGCTTGATCAGAGTGGAGGCCGGCAGCGGAGACTCTTCAAGACACGCCGAGGCTTTATGGGCACTGGAGCGAGATCGTTGCGTGTAGGCGATGAGGTCTGGGTGTTGTACCGTGGTGGTCTTCCTTTTGTGTTGCGGCCTTTGCCCAATGGTCATTATCGTCTTGTAGGAGAGTCGTTTGTGTATGGGGTCATGCACGGTGAGGCGCTGAAGATGGGTCTTTTGCGTGGGGATATTGTCCTCGAGTAGGAAGCTTGGATGATCATCGACTGGGCAGCCTGTCGAAGAGGGCAGTTGGCCTCTTACTTGGTTTGTGCAGTACTCTAGACCGTCCACCTGTCACCCACCGTCCTAAAGATAATACCCTAGACATGATACAAGATCTGTTTCAAGAATTCCATTCGTTTCTGCATCGACCCTGTTTTTTGAGGATATATAGAAAAGAAATTTGAGTTCTTCCACATACGACCATAGGATCTTGAAAATTAGGCTTCCCGTCCGCTCAGCCATATACAAGCAAGATACCGGCGGATTAGTAGTTAGGTGGGTGACCACTAGCGAATCCCCGCTGTTGTATGTTTTTGAATTTTTGCTCGAGTTTTTTTTATCTTAGGTTGGTGGAGGTGGAGGTGGAGAAACCTTGGGAGGGAAGGGGAGGCGGGGCTGGGTGCATCACAGCAGAGAGACGAAGAAAGACACAACTTGTGTGGTACGCAGCAGCCAAGACAGCACTGCAAGATCAGTTGATTCATCCCAGTCCTTTCCTAGTTATTTGTTGCTTAGTGATGGAAATTCCCCGATGACATCCCATCTTCTCTAACATCAACACCGAGAAAACATTCCCCCAAAGATGACCCAGATACCGAAGCCTCCTAGATTCAAGATCGAGGAAGAAGACGCCAAAACGCGCACCCAGATGTTTTATGATTCAAAAAGAGATAAAGAAAAAGGGAAGCTGAACTTCCATGTCCCACCAGCGCCATGCTTGCTATGTACAGTTGCTGCTTTGCAAAAACAGGAATAAAAGTAGAAACAGAAAACCGTCGTATCAAAAGACAGGATTATAAAAGTAGCAATTAGGTGGTATCGTGCGTAGGACATTAACAGAGAACTTCGTAGACAGAGCTGGGAAAGATCAAAAAGCGTTGTGGAGACGGCAGATGTCACTGTCGCTACGCAGCGGGTGGCGAAGTCATAGGCGATACAGCAGGCGATTCATCCGCACGACGATTCTCGCTTGTGTTCGTCCCAGATACGATGGTGAAAGGTGCTGTGGTGTTCGCTCCAGGAGCTGGGACTACCACTGCACCGTTTATTTTGGGGGCCAGTTTCGCGGAACCAGGCGGCGTTGTATCCGAATCCTCTTCCGGAATCGTGGGGCAGTATGTTTTGAGGACGTGTTTGAGCGCGGGCCGGCGAATCGGTTTAGAGAGGAAGAAGTCCATGCCTGAATCGAGGCATTCCTGTGACATGTTAGCATCTGGGTAGTCGGAATGGGATCATAGGTTACACACCTTGACATTGCTCTCCTCCGCATACGCTGTCAGAGCGACGATGGGAGCTGAGAAGCCGGACTGTCGGATGAGTCGCGTTGATTGCAGACCATCCAGGTTGGGCATTTGGACGTCCATGAAGATGAGATTGTATGGGGCTTGACGTTCCATACTCTCCATGACCTTGTCGAGTGCTTCCTGGCCATCCTTCGCGACAGTCACATCGTATACGTCTTCCAGCTTCAACATGCGCAGTACGACCTCTTGATTAGTCTTGTTGTCCTCAGCGACGAGCACCTTGACCTTGTCTCCTCGTTTTGTTGCTTCGGCTTCCACCCGCTTCATAGCCGCGACCTGCGAGTTTGGCGATTCTAGTGGCGCGTTTGAAGCGAAGAAAGGCTGACTGAGACCAACAAGACGAGGTTGATTGTCGGTGTCGAATGCCACTGGCCCTTGTGGAGCAGTAGCAACGGTGTTCCCAGCAACGATCGGACCACTTGTAGCGGATTGTATCGAGCGGGCCGAAAGCGCGTCATCATGTGAGCGGCCTCGCTGCGGCTCGTCGATCGACAGACTCCGGCGCGGTGTCCCGGTTTCCAGGTTGACGTTTCTTGAGCTTGCTGTACTGTCGGCCCGACTGGTGAGATGCTTCAACGGTATTACCATGGTAAACACACTTCCATGTCCGACCTCACTCTTGAGACCAATGGTACCCTTCATCAAACCAGCAAGTTGCGAACAAATACTCAGACCAAGGCCTGTGCCTCCAAACTTCTTGCTAAGCCCCAGATCACCTTGAACAAAAGGCTCGAAAATCTTGGAGTGTAGATTGTCAGGTATACCAGGACCAGTGTCTTCCACCTCAAATTCGAAAGACAACCATCTTCCGGGCGGTGGTGTCGCAGCTCGCTCTTGTGCCATGTAGCGGGCGAATGCGTCTCCTTTGCCCATGACGTTGATGACATTGGCAGTGCCGTAGTTGTGGTCTGGTGGTGTGGCAACCGAAACGGATCCTACCTCCGACGCAGAGGCTCTCATGCGAGTTTTTGAGTTGCGTGTAGAGCTTTGTCGTGATTGTAGAGAGGCTTTGCGACTGTCAGACATGTGGGCCTCCCCAGGGCAACGGATGGTAAGCGTAACAGAACCGCCTTGTGGAGTGAACTTGAGACTGTTCGATACCAAGTTGATAACGACTTGGAGTATTCGATGTTGGTCACCGTACAAAACCATGTCCTTGAGACGGCCTAGTCCGAAGGGTCCGAGATCGCGTAGTTCGTTGGGTCGTCCGTTGTCGTCCAGATTGTTCTCATATGGTCCCTCGAATTCGACGGCGAGCTTGATACCGCCTTCTCTTGCCTGCTTTTCGAAAATAGCCAAGACTTGCGAGCTGATATCGCGTAACCGGAACTCCTTCTCATCTAGACTTAGTTGTTGACCAACCTGGTTTTTGCTGAAGGTCAAGAGATCTGTGAGTAGATTGAGTAGCAAGTCTCCGCTCTTGTAGATGATGCCTAACGATCGTCTTAACTTGATTGGGTCGTCTTCCGACATGCACACAGCGCACATGCCTAAGATACCGTTCAGCGGCGTTTTCAGCTCGTGCGAAATGTTTGCGATGAACAAGGTTTTGCTTTCGTTGGCCGCTTCAGCCGCCTTTTTGCTCTGTTCGAGCTCGGCCGTTCTTTGTGCTACCCTCTCCTCCAATTTCTCGTACTGCATCATCAGCTCGTCCGTCATCTCGTTAAAGGTGGTCGTTAGGTCGGTGAGTTCGTCGTGGACGAAGTGCTTGCGGTCTTTGACCTTGCCCGGAATGCGGAACTGCCTCCGCCTCTCTGCTTCTGTCTTCTCTGCACGGTTGAGTTTTGCATTCCTCCGGTAATGAACGATCTGGCCAAAGAAGCCTTCTTTACGGGCAAGAGCCCCGTCTTCCGAACTATCATTGGGACAATCGTTCTGCGAGCTGAAATCATCGTCCTCGAACATGTGGGGCGCTACGGTTTTCTTGGTGGCGTCTCGGAGTCTTCGGATCGGCTGGCTGGAGAAATGTGCTACAGGAAACGTGAGGAGTAACATGGCACCCAGTGTGCCAAACACACATGCGATGATGACGTTGCGTAGGTGGTAGATGGGTCCCCAGACTTCATCATGGGTTTGCTCTACCACAACCATCCAGTCGACCATAGGACTATTGATGACAGCGTATCCAACAGCAACATTATCGCCATCCTCATTGCTAGTAGAGATGATGCTTCCAGCGTTGTTGGTGGCGCCAGTCGGCTTGGTGAAGCCCTTGCGTATGGCGGGATACTTTGTCCAGGAAAATGGCGGTGGATCGAGAGCAGTATCATATTGACCATGCCTCTGCACCTCTGATCGCTGCGTTGGCGGGGCAAGATAGCGCACCTGTACGTCCTCGGGAGCGCTAGGGTCTGCAGCATCGTACAGGTATTCGGCAGGGAAAACATTGCTGGCATTGTTCGGGCCGAAAAGCAGGGTAAGACCGCTCTTGTCGAGGCCCTCCATGGCGTTGACAACATTGGAGATGAGCGATGCATCCAAGACAGCCGTCAGCCATCCAAGGGTATCTATGTTGGACGTGTTATTGATGATGGGCGTGGTGATTGACACTAGGCTGAGTGTTTCGTTGACGCGGTATGGCCCGGAAAAGAGGTAGGTGGTGTTGTCGATAGTTCTGCCTTGGTAGTGTGCCTTGTACGTGTTGACAGTGTCGTTATATGGTATGGTCTCTACAGTGAATTTGGGATAGAGCTCCGGGATGAAACCGTACTCGGTGTCGCCCAGTGTTGCATTCTGTCCGTCAGGCTTGAGTATGGGCAGCACAACGTCCATCATGGTGTATGCAGTCCGACTGAATATAGAGCGCTCGGAGGAGTTGAAGGGGTATATCTGAGCTTGGATAGCCACACGGGTCCGCATGTCACCGGAGAAGATGGCATCGTAGTCCTCCTCGACCCGGGACCAGTTTTCATCTGATAAATTTCCGTTGTAGTATCGGCTGAGGGCAGACTGTGGAGAGAGACGGTTGGCAGCCTGTTGAGTGAGGATTTGCATGAGAGCCAGATTCGACGACAATTGGGCGGCTTTGAGAGAGGCTGTCAGCGTGAGACGAGTCGACCTAAGCGGACGATTAGTACGGCAGGTCGGTGGTGTGAAATGGCAAGATTTACCGTATATTCAAGACGAAGTTGTGGTTAGTGAGCTGGCAGAGTTAGCACTGGTACGGACGAATATACAGCGTTGGTAGGTACCCATGTTGCGACAGCTACCACAGCCAGGCCTATCATGGAAGCCAGCAGAACCAGACATCCCAGCTGCTCACGGATGGGAATCCGCATCTTGACCATAACTCTGCAAGGCGTCGCAGGTCACACGTCGGACGTGCTATTGAGGGGAGCAACGCAGCCCGGCAGTAGCGAGAGAAAGCGCAGTCGGGGCGGATCTCAGTCAGCTATCCTAGCGGTACCGGCAAGCTGACAGACGCGAACGACGGGAGTTGTCGGTGCAGTGTGTGGGATGTGCGTATCCCATTCCTCGCAGTGGGCGACGGCGACGGCGACGGAGTTTTCGCAAGCGTGTTGTGGACGATCAAAGGCAGATCTCGATGCACTCTGGGGTGCGAGTCGCAGAGGGCTGGCGAGGTGGAGTGAATGCACGGCAGAGGCTACTACGCCCGAAGCAGCAAGACAGGTTCGGCTTTAGCTTTTACAGGGTATGTTTTGCTTTTGGCAGCAGGTACCGTACGATTCTTGCGTGCGCGAAAAGAGAGGACGAGCCGGTGTGCTCTGGCAGGCGGACCCAGGTGCGGATGAGCAGCAAGAGACTCAGCGCACGTCGCGTCCACTGTGGTGGAAAAGGATGGAGGGCGGACCTCCCGGGGAGAGATTGGCACAAGTTCCCTTTGGGTTAGAGGCGTCTACCGCTGAGCATGGGCTGACAGCTCCAGACCCGGGCCCTGCCTTGAGTTCGCCACGCCTTGCCAGCATTCCATTGCATGGACTGAGCAAATTACCTGGCCTAGACGAGCGTGCAATCTGACCGCGCAATGCCTCTGAGCCACACTTGTTCTCACCTTGTTGCGCTGCAGCACCAAGTGTGTTGTGCGTCTTGTCCGGCTCACTCTCCACCAGCAAACACGGGTTCAGGCCACTTGGCAAGCGGGGATGGCCTTGTCGTCTTGAACGGGCCCCGTCTCCACTTGCTCTTTTGATCGGCAGATTCACTGGATCCGCTGCGATCCAGACTTTCACCCTAGTCGGGCTCGTCTAGGGGCTGCAGCGTCTTGTCCTGTCCTGTCTTGCCGCCGAGGCAAGACTGGCATGCACTTGCATGAACAAATATAAAAAATAAAAAAGACGTTTGCAACACCAACTTCTCAACGGCTGCTAGATGCTTGCTAACAGTCGTTCAAGCGGTCCGCGCCGCTGTCTCGAGTAGTGCGCTGTCAAGTCGCCTTTCTAGTCAGTCTCATGACACCCCAAACCACCCGCCTGGTAGACGATGCCCCGGATCGACAACCCTCTAGTCTTTAGGTACCTTCTCGGCCCTTCCACACGTGGCATAAGCATAGCAATGTGAACTTTTTCATGTTTCACGTCTCGCGATATGTCTTCGTCGTGCCCAATCATCAACTGCATATATTATCCTGCCCAGTTGCCCACGGTTGAATAGCCCGCTGTCGAGCCCCTATGCAACGACGGCAGCAGCGTGCCTTCTGTCACAGAGCCTACCCTCGCCAACCCATCCATCTTCGGATTCGTATAGTTCCTGCCCATTCTTTTGAAGAAGGTGAGGACAACCATGGTGCCACAGATGACTTTGTCAATCCCACCCGGCGCCAGTGTCAGTCCATCGCGAAACACAGTCATCTCACCGACCTCGGCGCCTCTGAGTGCCAGCACACCTTTGTCTGAGAACGTAAAGCGCGCAATGACCTTGCTAGAGCCTTTCTCGTACACACCCAATGCGATCGGTCGCATCTCGAGTACCCAGACGTACGTCTTGTCTCCAACCGTGAGACTCCAGTCTTCAAAGTTCAGCGACTCCATCTTGTACTTTGTACGCAACCCGTCCTCCGAAGCATAATCAAAATGCGCACGCGGCCGCCAGGGGAACCCTCCGTCGTTGTCATACGAAAGCGCAGCTATATTCCGTTGGCGCATATCCTGCGACGTATGCAGCACCTCCATCTCCGGCTTCTTCGAGAAGACGCGGAAGCTGTTCGTTGTGATTCTGTACGAAGAAGCGAGCGGCCCATTGTAAGCAGCAAGCATCTGTATCTTGCGGTCGTACTGGCGAAGATGGTAGGTAACAAGGGGCCCGTCGTATGCGCCGTCATCGTAGGCTGGAGCCGTCTCAGCCTCACCGTAGCCCGGAAGCTCGTCATCGTGCGCGACGTCCAGGAAGTCGAGAGCATCTACGCGCTGTGTAGCTGACATTGTGCATTTGGTCGTCTAGTATGCCGCTGGTCAGAAGGCGCCGGCATATATACCCTCGCTTGGTGCATTGCACCCGTATGGAATGCGAGATTCATTGCGCGTGTGAGCAGTCCATTGACCTATGACGAGGACAAGACTAGGACGAGACCGGTGCCGAGTCTGTCCAATAGCTGTGTTAGTCATCGTTACACGCGTGAATTTGGTCTGCCTTGCGAACAGCCTCCATTACACGCCGTGCAAACGTCCATGAACGGATATTTGTTCACTGGAACATAGAACCCGTCGAATACAGACGCGTGAAGCCTTGCGAAGAAGAGGTTTGACGCGTGAGGTGTCCGAGTAACAAAGACATCCTTCCTTCCCCACTGACCGCTAGCGTCTGGCCCGTGCGCTCCACTCTCTGCACACGTTAAGAGCTATCAATACAACCCGGATAATCTGAGGTTGCGGGCTTGCGAATGGAGTCTCTACTGGTAGTCACATCGTTTCCGCAGAGGGCCATGTTTTATCTTCCATCAACTTGATGCCACGACTACTGGCTGTCTGCCAAAAGCAATATGCGTCAGAATGGCTCATACACACTGATTTGGCCAAGCGCAACCCCAAGTTCCTACCAGTCCCACATCTTAGCCTCGCCCATCAACGCGCCAAGCTCTTGATGTCTTACATACATAAATGTACACCAGTCACAATGATTTTGCTGCAATCATCACAACTTTCAAGCTCACACTCATTGTTCCGCTCGCTCGTTTTCAGAACACGCCAACATTACGGATTTACTCACTACCGCCGCCTTCAAAATGACAGAATCAAAACCGCTGATCTTCTACGACATCTCTTCACCAATACAACCCCGCTCTTACGCCCCCAATCCCTCCAAAGCGCGTCTAGCCCTCAGTTTCAAGAGAGTTTCCTTTAAAACAACATGGGTCGACTTACTAGACATCACCACCGTCCGCAAGGGGCTCAATTGTCCAGCCACACGCAAGTTGGACGATGGCTCAGACTACAACACCTTGCCCATGCTGCAAGACCCCTCCTCCAACAAGATCATTGGGGACAGTTTCGACATTGCAAATTACCTTGAAGACACGTTTCCAGATTCTGGCGGCTGTCTCTTTCCGAAGGACTCCAAGGGCACAGGACTGGATTATGAGAGCCCGAATAAAGATACCATGTTCTTTGCGCCTCTGACGCTAAACGAGGGTGCGAAGAATGAAGCGTATGCAAAGTTCAATACGCATGTTGATGCGACGTTTTCTGCGCATGTCATCCTTGTCTCGCAGTACATGCCGTTTAATCCCGAGACTGCAGAGGCCGTAAAGGCGCAAATGTGTAAGCGAGCGCATTTGGAGTCTTGGGATAGTGTAAGCATTCAGGGCGAGGCTAGGGAACAGCTCAAGGTGGCGTTCAAGGCGGCGCTGAAGTCACTAGCAGACTTCTTTGTGGTAAATGAGGGAGGGCCCTTTTTGGAGGGCGAAAAGGCAAACTATGCGGATCTAATCGTGGGTGGGTGGTTAAACATGTTGGCGAAGTGCATGCCAAAGGAGGAATGGGAGGATTTCAAAGAATGGCATGGGGGTGTGTTTGGGAGGTTGCACGACGTATTGCAGGAGAGATATTTTGTGTGTGTATGATAGGGATGGGTAGCTGGGATCGTCGGCTCGATCCACGTTCCAGCTGGTGTGGTCCTCTTCGACATCCGGTTGAATAATGGGTTTGACTCATTTATCGATTGATACCCAAATGCAATAATATCTTTTTGGCACATCTCGGGATCCTATGACGCTGTCGCTATCAACTCAAGTTCGTCATACGATTACTTTTCATAGTCACTGGAGTTGCATGAGTAACTGCGTCACTGTTTGCATGAGAGATAAAAATGCCGTGCAAGTATTTTCCGCATTCCTCACCTTTGTCGTTTTTATGTAGACGATGAGTCACTAAGCATGGCTGCGTAGAAAGTATTAGGGACAGTGTGCGTGGGGTAGCGCGAACGCTCGTTTGCCTCGGCTGGGTTCCCGAAGAGGCAGCTTCATCAGCCTTCCCTCTCAGCCTTCCGTCGATCCGTTCGCGTTCCTCTTCCAGCCGCCGCCCCGCCTTCTCGGTCTTTGGTATTCTCTCTCTTTCCAATTACCAAATGTGAAGAGAGTAGGATTGCCAGAATATATGATCAAGTACTGTAGACTCCGGGCTTCCTATAACATTGTCAGCGTACGTTAGAGATCCTTCGTCCCCACTTTTTGTATCATTCCCTGGCTTTCTCAGCCTTTCAGCATAGCTACCTGATTTTGTGCGTTTCAAGGCACACGTTGCTGCGTAGTTGGGATACCATGGCAAGCCACAGTCACACGACAACTTGTCACATGCACATATAGATACGTCTTAGTCTAAGCGATTCGCGCGCGTCAATTACGCAGAGAGCCCAGCCTCATCACACCTTTCATGCAGTCAGCACCTTGTATTGAGTGGGTTAGCAGATGTTACGTAATCAGCTGTTGAAGGCCGGCCTCCCAGTGTTGTAGGCTGAGAAGCAACGCTCTTTTCCTCTTTCTTCGTAGCACATCGCAAACCCCACAGGCATCATGTCTTCGCAGCTAGAATACAGGCCCTTAGCTGATGATGAATTTCGCCTGCTAACACTTTTACCTGCGGCGTCGCTTTCAGCGCCACTCAGAGTTCAGATCTTCCACAGCAACGTGTGTACTCCACAAGAATCTTACGCGGCATTGTCATATACCTGGGCATCGAAATTGGAAGGCAACGATGACAGCAACGGTGAAGTCTTTGAGTCAGTAGATATCGACGGCCACAAGACATCTCTCCACCAGAACTTGGCCATGGCATTGCGCTCTATCCGCCTCGAGGTTCCGCAGTGTATTTGGGCCGACGCAATATGCATAGACCAGTCCAATACAGCTGAGCGCAATGTTCAAGTAACGCTCATGCGACAAATATTCTCGAATGCTACGAGTGTTCTGGCATGGCTGGGACCAGCTGCAGAAGGCAGTGATCTGGCGATGAACTTCCTTGCACATCTAGCAAGGCATTCTCGCAAGGAACACATTGGAGCTTGGCTCGGGAACGAAGGCATGCACCCCTGCTATTATTCTACCTGGGAAGGCTTGAGGGCCTTGATGGCCCGAAACTGGTGGAAAAGAGCATGGATTGTACAAGAGTTCGCACTGGCTCAGAACGTCATCTTCATATGTGGTAATCATCGTCTTTCGGCAGATGATCTAGAGGCAGCGGATCGTCTGATCTTCATGGAATTCACGCCGTCAAAGAACGAACGGGTCACCGCTCTAGTCAAAGCTGTGGATATCAACCCAAGGGTTCTTGATCCTGCAAGGAACCTGATTAGCCTGCGCCGACGTTTACAAAAAGGCGAAACGCTTTCCGCTCTTGCAACTCTCCAGATGACCAGGCTGACCGAAGCATCCGACCCACGAGATCACTTGTTTGCCAAGATCGGGCTCAGTGGACGCGAGCTGGTAGACTTGTGCCCACCTGACTATGATGCCGAGCCGGAGAACATCTGGTTTACCTTCTTGTCTGAGTACATCAAGCAAAAGCGAGACTTGTATGTCATATGTATGGCAGGAATGCAACCGAGAACGTATTCGCATTTACCCTCCTGGCTACCAGACTGGGGCCCTTCGAAACCACAATACATGCTTTGCTCGCTTTTCACAGGTGACAAAGGGCAGTGGCCTTTCTTTGAAGCTTCGGGGGGTGCTGGTGCAGTCGCAACAATCTCGAGCAAAAGGATCCAAGCAGATACTGTCCTAAGATGCCTGGGAGTTGTGGTGGACACCGTGGACGGAGTCGCTGGTGATCCATGGTGGACTGAAAGGCCCAGTTCTCTTCGCCAGTCACGATGCGAGAAAAATGCCTACGGGACAGAAGCTGGCGCGTTCGAGGCGTTGTGTAGAACGGTTACTGCAAATACGAATCGGATGGATTCTTGGAGCGCTCCTCCAACAGAATTTAAAACTATCTTCGCAAAACGTTGGCAGGAGTTGAGGACAAGCACTGCAGCGTACGAACTCGACCCTCAGCAACCACTTCCACTTCCGTTCTACGCACGTGCTTCAGGCTTTGAACGAGCCTGGCGCAGCATGCGCGGGCTGAAGTTTGACGGGGTGGATTTGCAGCAACTCGTCGAGACTGGGCTGGCAGCTGAACAATACGACCACTCGACATCTGCATCATCCAACCCTCTTTGGACAGCTCTCGAGCATAGCGCCGGTCAAGCCTGTTTCGAACGGTTCGTATTCACTACAAGCGGAGGATATCTTGGAATCGGTTCTTCCACAACAGAGCCTGGAGACAAAGTCGTCATACTCCTGGGTTGCAAGGTGCCGGTGGTATTGCGGCCGCTTGATCAGGGCGGCTACAAGCTAATCGGGGAATCGTATGTAGACGGCATGATGTACGGTGAGATGATGATGGAAGAAGTAGGACAAGGCATATCTTCCACGTCGATTGAGTATGTTGATATTCTCTGAAGGCTTCTGTGGCGCGCGCGTACAATCGGAGATGCAGTAACTTTGTAATAGTCGATTGCAGTAGAGTGAGGTATTGATTCTCGGGCAGACCAGAGATGGGGACGATTCGCTGAAGATCGGCGGATAAAGTGGGCCTGATCTAGATGCCAAAATTCTAGACTATCGAACATGGCGATCGCGACTCAGCAAGTCGGAAGAAGAAAATTGCTCTTGTTCTCGGATATAAGCTGTTTGAATTTCATCGTATTTACCACATATGTACACTGGCCCGCTTCGCCTTTTTTGGGCTCATTGGGCATCGTAAGGGGCGTCTGTCCTCATGATGTAGATCTCGCCAACGAGGACAACCAGACCGACGAGCATGGTGATCGCAATGATAGGCAGGTTGACGCGTGCAAATTCCAAACCGCCGACATGGATGTGTTTTCTGCCCAGGATGTCGCGCCAAAGCATACCTGCTAGCGATGCACTGAAGGCCAGACTGAAGGCACCGTAATTGACGCCAATTGCCATGCTGTATATTGTGCCCCAAAAGGTTCGGTCGGAGATTGGATTGCCATTCAGACGGTGAATCTCTTGCCATGCCTGGATTACCCTAGAAATGAGAATTGTGGTGCCAATGTTAGTACCAGCGAACTACTCAAACGTTAGCTATTGGCATTTTGCGACAGTACCGAGAACCTACATTGCACAATATGACTGAGACGAAGCCCATACCACCGACTGCACCAACTGTGCCGGTCTTCTCAACCCAGTGATCCCATCCGTGTGCGAAAACTGGAACCCAGCCCTTGGTGACCAGAGCCTGGACCAGTACAAACATACAGAATGCGAAAGGAACCAGCGCCAAGGGAAGATGGTGAAAAACGGTCATGGTTGTCGGGAACGTCTCCTGTGCCCATCGATATGTGTCTGCGACGAGCGACGCTAGAGTAGTTGGTATTGGCTTCTTGCTTGGCTCCAACTTCTTTTCTTCCTGTGAAACGGGTTCAAGCTTTATCATTTCGTGTGTTCTCCCATTCAAAATGTGACTGGAGGCCTCAGCCAAGGTATGAGACTTTTCATCAGAGTCCTGGTTCGTTTGCTGATCCGATTCAGGAGTGATTGCATCCGCTTCTTCCTGTGTGATGGACTTCCTCCTTATCTCCCTTTCTGCGAGTGCGGTCTCTGCTCTTCGTCGACCCTCGTGAGCGATCTTCCGCGTCTCTGCCCTACTAAGCCACCCCATTGTGAGATCGAAAATGAGCATGACGAATGCGGCGGGTAGCGTGACCCAGAACACGGGGCGTTCGTGCGTGCCTTGAGAGGCAGCGTTGATCGCTAAGACGGTAACAAGGGTAGCTGCCATGATCACTGCGCCAAAAATCGCGCCTTTCTTATCCAAGAAAGGATTCAGGACTTCCTCGAGGGACATCTTCTTCTCTTGTTCGTCGTCACTACTGTTTGGATCACCATCGCTCTCTTCTGGCCCGCTTTTGGCGAAAGGAATGTTGGGATTGACTGGCTTCTTGTTCTGTCGAAGAGCATCTTGTCAGCGTATGTAGCACACACCTTGTTTTGGTCGCTTACCTTGAGCTCATCGGGAAGATCCTCCATCTTGATGGATGCAGGAATAAGAGACTCATCATGGAAGATGATGTATAGCAAGAAAGGATACAACACGACTCCTGTAACAAGAACCGGAACGATGATGTTTGCTGTGTACTTGATGAACGTGATTTCAAATGCGCCAGCCAGGACAAGGTTGGTAGGGTTGGAAGACACCAGTATTGCCGATGCGATATTTGCACAAGAGAACTGCGTGAAGATCCAAGCTCTTGGGTGCTTGATGTTGCTTGATACGCGCGTCATATAGGACAGGAAGGCAGTACCAGATAGGATAATCGGGTCGTTTCCAATGAAAGCTGTGAGAAGGAAGAAGAAGGTATACAGGTAGAAGAAAAGTCGGTGACCGACTTTCCCTCCCTTCTGCAGCACTTTGAAAGCCAGCCATCTGATGAGACCGGAGGCGTCGACCGAGATGGCAATGTAAGCAAGAGAGAGAAAGAAGAGCATGATATCGTACGGCACGATACCCTGATCGCCAAGAGTGCCGCCTTTTACTTCCGTCGCACCAATAGCAAGGATAGCGAGCAAAAAGAGATCTGCTATCAGCGGAGCTGTAATGAAGTTCATTGGAAAGTCGAATCGTACGAAAGATCCAGGCTTGCCATTCCTGACTCTAGTCGGATGTTGTGGTGGCGGTATGATGCGCAACGCACTCACAATCTTGAGGAACGGGGTCCATATTATCCGTGGGAGATAGATGGGAACGTGGAAAGGAAACAGAACATTGATGTCTATAGGTGTTGAGGATTAGTTGAGTTTGAGACGTCAGTACACACATCCTACTTACTTGTCAAAACAAAGACAATCAGTGTCACTATAGAGCGCCATTCTTTGATCTTACCAGTATCAAGGTCTGGCCTTTCCGATTGGGTGGCCCGCTGAGAGATCATGTCGTGTCTTGGAGCAATGCTTGGAAGCCGCCGTGCGAATTGCTTTTGGGGGCAGAAAAACTCCAGGAGGTATCTTGCAGGATAAAGTGCGCCAAATCAGGCTTTTGGTAAGGCCCGATTGAAGAGTGCATCTATACGCTAGACGTTACAGGCGATCTGTGAGCCGGTGCCTGGACCTTAGTCGTGACCGTGAGGATCAGTACCGATGCCGAGAAATTGCTTGTGCCATGTGCGAGATGACGCGCGACATGACCCTGGCGGTAGGCAAGTGAGGCTCTTTGTATTGCCTTGATAAGTGCAGGCTAAGAGGCGGTGTTGTAAAAAGGCTTGCTGCCCAGGATGACAAGATGATGGCATCTGGGCGCCGGTTGGGCCGCTAACAACTAGCCCCACCCGTATTCGAAAAGGGTCCAGTCGCGGGCTGGTCATGCCGTCTACTCAGCCTCTCGCCTTATGCAACTGTAGCAAGCGACTGCCATATAGTTCACCGGTGGGCTGCATTACCCCAGATCATTGGAGATCTACAGCACACATGGAACGCCTTACTGTCCGGAGGCGCACCCGTTTGCGCAGTGCGCATTACCTATGCCGGTGCTCTCCCTTTGCGACAGTCCGCTCAGTAATGTCTTCATCTCATCTGCCTTTGCTCGTACTATGTGAGCATCTCGGCAACTCGAGCGCTATCCACTCTTGCGACGCAAAGTGTTGTGACAGCTACTTCAACAGCTACAATGTCTAGCCCTGCAGTACAAGTCGTTTGTGCCTGGCCAATCTCATCCAACTATGGCGCAGGATCGCGTGTTAGTACTCCTCCATCCTAGCATACCCGTGTTGAGCGAGTCTGGACCTATCAGAGAACTGATGCACGAATACAGATCTTGTATTATGTCCTGGTCGCGGCATGTGTAACTTTTCGCAAAGCCGAATGGTTGCGCAATACGTGCCTTGCTGCCGTCTTGATTCTGCCGGCCGTTTCTGCTCTCCAAGCCCTCGTGCTCGCTTCGGCGCATACGAATGGTCAGTACAAAGCCACCAAGAACGTCAAGAACACCCAAGGAGAGCGAATCTAACAACGAACCATGTAGGCGGCGTTGATATGGATATATATGGAGTAAGTTTTTAGTATCTAACATACGCGTGTATTGTAAACTGATTCCATGTCTTCACCGTGAAGGCTTTCCAGTTCTGCGCGATCGGAATTCTGGCAGCGCCTCTGACTGTGAGGCTGTCGCGAACCTACTTCCAGTCTCCAGGGCGCAACATCATATTTCTCTGGACGATACTGATCTTGATGGGATTGTTGGCCCTCTGCGTGGAATTCTACCGAGTCACCCCAACGGCCTGCAGTAGCGATGATGATGGAAACCCTTTTTACGGCACCGCCAACTTCCCATACGAACATGCTAGATGTAACTTGACGTGCTCTGAAAGCAAGGGTCCGATATCTCCAATGCGGGGAGGATCCGCTGCCGACGTCTATGTTATTCCTGTGCCGCGTATCTTGTCGTTCAACGCCGCCATGCTACTTTCTGCTGGATTCTGCATCCCCGCGATATTATCTCTGATATTTACCTGGGATAAGATTTTGGAGATCAACTGGAAGAGGCGACGGCCTGTTGAGCCTCTCAACGCTCGGATTGAGGGTGCGAATATGACTGTTGGAGAGCTTAAAGGCATCAACAACGTCGTGAGGAAGTTCTTGGGCGTCATCGAAATTCCGTTGTTTGGCGGGGTGATTATCACGATTATTGGGGTTGGCGAAGCGAACTTCTTCAGCCCACAAGTACGATTTATGACTGAGCCCATGGCTTCGATTGGTAAGCGGAGAATCGCAGCGATATGCCAGTTTCTAACATGTTCGTCAGGACAATGGTCACCAATAGCTGGAACAATCATGGCCGCCCTTGGTTCTCTTTATATTCTGTGGTCAACCAATGGCGACGACGTCCCGAAAGGGAAGCCCCCGAACCAATCCGAGAACTCTGATTCATCACGTATCAGTCGCAGTAGTGAGCGACCGCCTTCTCAACGGTATCCTTCGCCCGTGTATTTTGGCCCTGATAGAGAGACGGGGGATGGTCTGGGTATACGATCAGAATCGCCCAACGTTATCGAATTGACCCCGACCATCACGTATCCTGATTCTGAACGTAATATGGGTTCTGCCTCTCAGGCTGTTCAGCAAGATACTCACCAATCGGATCAGCCAACAGCTGGCAGAAACCGGATACGAAGTTGGTTGACATCAGCCGGGAATTACCTCGGGGATGCAGCACATGAAAGACTTGATCCAGACCATGAACGAGTTGATGAGGAGACTCAGAGGTTTCCAGAGGTTCCTGGCGAGATTCTGCGAAACCCCGATCTGGAACGCATCAGTCGCACGTACAGTCAGCTTCGCGAAGAAAGGGCGAACAGCGTATACGCGGCAAGCATCATGTCTTCACCAGCGCTTGAAGGTAGTGCATCTCCGGCACCTACGTCTCCGCCACTACACCAAGAACCTCCGCGTCCTGATACTAGTCCTTCTCGACAGCCGAAACGGCGAGATACACTAGAAGTACCAAAGGGAGGGCATTGAACAAGCGAAAGCCACTGATCGATTACAAGCCAAACCAGGCTTCTGATACTGTCAGATGCGAAGGAACACTATGTCCTACACCCACTGCCCAGATACCCTCGACGCTTGGACCGAAGTCATCAGTGCGATAGTTCCTCTCTGGTGTATCCTTCTTCGAGCTCGTCGGTGTGGTACTGATACCAAATACATTGGTCCATTGCTTCAACGTCTCATCGTAGTTCTTTGGGCTAAGTGTTCCGTCTACAGAGCCATGCCAAAATTCTAGATACGTCAGTACATGGTTCAAACGCGTCATGATCTCCACAACTTACGCATGCGCGGGCGTGTTCCGTTATATCCTGGGTACATTCCCCGAACTACGTCGCCCCAGTGTTGCGCAGTCGAGATGGACTGTCCGCCAGAACAAGTGTTGTTCCACGCTGCTGCTGCCCCAGAAGCGGAGACGAAACACCCAGCTGGCACACCAGAGTACAGTGACACCGCGCTGATGAGCTCGGGATAAGTGGCCGCCAGGACATTACTCATCATGCCACCAGAAGAACCACCGGTGACGAACACTTTCTTAGGGTCGATTTTGTACTTATCGATCGCATACGTAATCATGTTCGCGATAGCATTCGAATCGCCGCCACCGTTATGTGATAGCGAAGCCTTGCTGGACACATCCCAACACTCGGTTGTCGAGCTTGGCCAGACTGTTACGTACCCTTTGGTGTCGGAGCCCTTCTTCCAAGGAATCAGAGAGTTCTGGAAGTATTTCTGCGCTGATGATTGGCACGAGTGGATTGCCACGACCAGCGCGTCGCTCTTGACTTGATCGGGCACGTACACCCACCTTTCGTGTGGTGTTAACTAGACACAAGAGATGGACGGGTTTTACGTACATGCCAGGCTTCGCTCGCGCACTACCGCCATAGTTCGAGACTTGAGTCAATTGCGCAGCGAAAACGCCGGACACAAGAGCGAGGCTTGCAGCAAGAGATTGGATACGCATCTTGGGAGAGTTGAAGGCAGTCAGAATGATGAAAGGGCTTCATTCTGGAACTTGATGGTTATATGCCTATTCACACTCGATTCCTCCACATCAACAGGTGGGGTCCATTGTCATTCGTGGAATTTGGACTGTCCATGCCATCATGTATACTCCGAATGATGTTGCGCCACCTGAGGTACAGTGTTCATCAGAGTACGTTGTTAGATAGATCCGGGTAAACAGTAAGGTGTTCGTAATCAAGCTTCATACCAAGCATTTTCGCAAATTACCCACATTATTATAACCCTGCACCCCACGTCTATCAATTAGCGATTGCCGGCGCGAAAGATAATGTATGGATGTCACTGGTTGCTGCATTGTCAGATTTTGCTGAGTTCGCTCTAGGTGCCGAACGGAACTTTACGTCAAATGCAACGTCTAGACGAATGTCGCATAACCTGAGAGCAATGGCAATATAGGGGAAACCAATGTGTGGCGATTTATAACTCTGGCTCCGGACAGAAGGGTAGCTTTGTTGATGTTTGGTACATTATATGCAGCAGGTATTGGCGTCATGTGGAGAAGCTCTCATAACATTCACACTCATCGCCATATCGTCTCTTGTCAATTAGTAGTTTGATCGAACCTAGGTGTCATTTGACGCAACCCCAGCCAAGTTTCTCTTTCCTAAGTCGCTCCCCCGTGCTATCTCATAGTGGAGGCATTTGCGATGTGGAACCTCTTCGCCTCTATCGCTGTATTCCTAGCCCATCATGTTTCCGCCCACGGAGGTGCTCTGAACTATACTGTTGGCAAGACATGGTACCCAGGGTAAGATCTTGATATTACAGTCTTTCTAAATGACGACTGTCGCGACCCTACTAACAACAATTCCAGCTACGACCCCTACGGTGATGAAGCCATGCAAGACGCTGCCTCGTGGATGCCACAACGAAAATGGATATCCAACAACCCCATCTTCGAAACCACCAACTCATCCCTGTCCTGCAACACGCCCGGCACACCCGCCCGCGCTTACATACCCATCCGTGCAGGCGAGAATATAACCGCCGCGTACGCGTACTGGGTGCACACCGTCGGTCCTATGATAGCATGGATGGCATACTGCGACAACGCCGACAACGACTGCACGACCTTCTCCAGCGAAACGGCAGACTGGTTCAAGATCGGGGAGAAGGGGTTGTTGAACGGAAGCATCGAGACTGGAGAGTGGTTCCAGAAAGCGTTCAGCATGTGGGATGGGAGCCCAAGTCTGTGGAGTGAGAGGGTGCCTGTAGGGTTGCAAGCGGGGAGGTATTTGGTGAGGCATGAGATTATCAGTCTGCATTCGGCGAATAGTATGTATATGGTTCTTTCCCAATTTAATTTATGTGCAAGGCGCTAACATGTCGTACCTGCTTAGAGCCGCAGTTTTACCCTGAATGCGCGCATTTAGAAGTCAGCAACGACGGCAAAGGTGTGATTCCTAGCAAGGAATATATGGTTAAGATTCCAGGAGTGTGGAATATGGATCGTACGTATACGGACGACTGGAAGGAGAGCCTACAGCTGATCACCAGTAGAACCTGAGATCAATATCGATATATATAGTCCCGAGATCTCGACGAAGACGGTATACATTATTCCGGGCCCACCCATTTGGTCGGTGGAGACGTAGGTCGCGATATGGAGCGATCGTTGGGCCTCATCACGGGCATGTGTCTCGACGTGCAGATATCCGGAATTACAAATGTGTCAATTCAAAATCTGCACATCCAAATTCATATATCCTCTGTGGCGCAATTGGCTAGCGCGTCTGACTGTTACAGCTTGCAGTAGCAGTCCATCAGGAGGTTGGAAGTTCGAGCCTTCCCGGAGGAGCTGAATTTTTGGCCATGTGTGCGGACCGGGCGGTAAGACTGTGCGGGCTGACGACGGCAATATATTTTTTAAATACTAGAGTTGTGGGTAACGGCATGAAGGAAGCAGCTGCGGAGGATCCACATGAGTGCGCGCTTACATAAAGGGCAAACGTCATCTGCTAGCGTGCTTGACACACTCTTACCTGCCTTTCCTTATCACAACAACGCACGCCTGCACATGCAAAACACCTCAGAAACAATAGCCTGTGACGTGGTAATTCGACAAAAGATTGTTTTTCCTTTTTAATGATCCAGCTACACTCTGTAATCCTGCGCGCCCTCATCGCGTGACAGCGCCATCCCGATCATCACATCAGCATCGACAGGCTTAATGCAGCTTCCGATTCATGCAGGTGCCGAGCACATAACGATTCCACTACAGTTTCCATGCTTGTCCACGCGTTCCGAAATCATTACTGCCTCCCAGCGATCATACGCATACGTACCTTCCAGTCTTATTGCGCAAACCGACCTTTACACTGGTGCCCGCGTTACTGCCTTTAATACCATCCCTCACTCTAGGAGTCATGTCATCTTTCCCATCGGGCTCTGAGGCAACTCCGATTCCCTGTGTCCCAGTAACTTTCCGATGAAGTCGAGTCGCGGGTAGCTTGATGGGTGCTTGCTGGTCTGCGACTTCGCCCGTATCTGTAGGAGCAGACAGTGACTCGGAGTCTTTGGTCAGAAGAAGAGTTACGATAGGACGCGTTCTCAGTGTCGCTTTCGCAGATGAAAATACGTCAGATGCGGGCGTTGTAGGCCTGTAATCACCCTTGATGGCGTATGTTAGTCTGACTGTTGGTCTAGTAGATGGCACTCGATACGCGATGCACAAACCATAAGATCCAACTGCAACACCTACAATGTCTTCGTCCTCTGCCAGGAACATCTCTTCATCTATCAACGGCGACCCATTGATCTCCTGTCGGCCAGCAGTGCGCTCTTGTTCGCGACGTCTCTGGAACGCGGCTTGGTCCTGCAGTTTCCGCTGGCGCCGCTTTTGATGGTCGGTCATACCGTCCCACTCTCTTGACAGTTCTTGTTGCTCCGCGTTATCCGCCAATGCTGCATCGTGTTCAGTTTTGAACAACTCGAAGATGAGCTTCCATCTGACCTCGGTGGTAGGGTAGCCGTTGCGCGCATCCCTGATGTCGATATTAAAGCCTTCAAGATATGGATGTCTAGCGCATCCTTTGGGGGAGATGCACTGGAAGCGCTGCCCACATACCACGACTTGGCCGCATGTATCTGACCTCTTGTCTTTGTCGACGACGGGAGCAAGACACCAACAAAAGTGCAGCGCACTAACACATCTCATGCTTGGACTGCGGCCACACTCCTTGTCCTCGCAGTGACGCTATGTTCGAAGCTCAGTACTTTCTTCGTATGAGCTCCACCAATTGCGGTCACTTACAGCGCTGTTCATTTTCTCCTTGGTGCGAATGTTTCTCATCATAGCGATGTTGCTCTCGTTTTTGACATAGCTGCCGTATATCTCATCCAGATCCAGGGCGCTCTGCCGCGCGTAATTAGGCATTTCTGTGGCGATCGCATTCGGTGTTCACTAAGTGGTAGTAGCTGATATGTACTGCAGCTGGATGAATAGAGTCGGGGAAATCCTGTCAGTGAGTAAGATTCTGGCCTCCGGCGGTAGAACGCGGGACATCTAATGGTCATTGCAAGAGTTGCAGGTCTCCGTAACAACAGGCACTGTTTATCTGCTCATTGTTGTTGTTGCCTATAGGTTCATCTAGCTTGGTTCGTATACTCACTCCGACTATCGCGGACGTCATCCGACTATCGGAGATTTGCTCCTATGTATCAGGCTTGTCTTGAACCATATCTTCCATAAATGCCCTTGACTACCCGTATATGGGAGTCAAGCTTGCTGATAATATAAAATGAGCTTGCTAATAACCTGATTGAACTCTACATGTGCGCTGATAGCAACCAAGACAACTCCAAGTTCATCTTCCTCGGCTGCATTCAGTCATTTCACGCGACTTGATTAGCACTTGGGTGGGACTACAATGCGCAAACAATACTGCTCAGATAACCCTCAAGACGTCGGCCGCAGTACACTATCTGAAGCATCGTCACCGAGTCTTTAGTCTTACGCGATATCGCACAACTGTTTCGCAAACTAGGCTCAGACAAACTTGCTCTATGGCAGTTAGATTCAAGATACACACGTGCAAATCAAGAGCTGATTTAAACTACATCTAAAGACTTGTTCTGCAAAGCCCTAACAGATAGGGAGAGGTGCTGTATTGTTATTCATTAAGAATGGCAGGCAGAGACTCAATTGCCTCGGTAGCGCATAGTTCCGTCACTTCCGTCGCCCACCAATCCCACGACACGACAAAAAGACACGACACTCTCTCATGTTCACCTCGAGAGCAACGCGCATCGATTAAAAAAAGTCATGGCCGTTCTCAGCTACCGGAAATCGGACCAGTGATCTCAATCATCTTCTTCTGCAAAAAAAAAAGGAATTGATCTCCCCACCATGAGTCGAACAAGGGACCTTCTGATAACAGCAGATATTACAGTCAGACGCTCTAAACCAACTGAGCTACGGGGAGATTGTTTCGTATCGAAACCGTGCTTGGTTTGATTGATGAGTCAACTTAAAACTAGCATATATATATTGTTTGAAAAATTTTTGATCATCGGTGGGAAGGGACGGAAGGTCCAGGCGTAGCATTGTGTAATGACTTGCGAGGTGGGGCAGTCATCATCACCATCTCTTTATGTTTAGTAACTCCGAGAACATAAACGAAACTCAAACACCTTCTGCGTATCATCCTCTTGGTGTCTGCAAAGAGGAAGCCAGCCGCATTGCCTATGATATGCCATCTTCAGGAATTTGACGCCAGAATGAGCTCACCCTTTTGAAAGCTTTTCTTGAGCGGTAACAAGGCAAAGAGACATGCTCAGATCTCTCAGTTCTACATACAAAATCCAGTCTTGGAAGACAAGCTAGTGTCTGGTCACAACAATACCATTATATTCAGTCTCCCTGACTCTCCCCGACTTGGCCACCAGTCACCTTCATGCATGCTTAGGATCAGATTCGACAGCTGTACCATCGTCTTAAGATCCATCATCAATCTGTACTGGCTGAGATTGCTCCTAATCGCGCGTATTTTCCCTTTCAAACCCTGTAATCCCATCGTCATCCGCTGGTGAGCTCGTTTGACCTTACGTATCGTCTGAAGATCCATGTTATTCATGTCCAATGGCACCTCAACTAGCGTTGCTAGTTCCGTGTCGTGGTACTTCTGGTTGTCAATCCAGGACATGCCAACGAAACCAACAATCGCGTGAGTCGTACAGAGATTTTCGCATCGCACGTCGCATGCATGAACCAGAGCGTACGTACTGAATCCAATACCTACGACAAGACGGAGTAATACGCAACGTTTCTCTAACACAATGGGCCATCCATGTATATAGAGAAGACCGCCGAATATATTCGCATCTGTGTGCGCAGGGAAAACACTCCCACGGAACGCCCGCACAGCCGAGTACAAAGACGACCAATACTCAGTTGCGTACGAACCCGAACTTGGCTCACCCTCATTCATCCAAGTAGTAGTCGCGTTTGACCCGTTATCTGAACCACAAAGTAGCCATTTCAAGCAACGACTCACTTCCACATCGACAGGGCTATGTGTGTACCCTTCATCTTGCCCCTGCAGGATACAACGATCGTAACGTGACGTAAATCGGAAGGGGTCCTGAAGAAAATTGCGGGCCAGTATGCATTGAAGAAGCTCCCATGCGCTAAGTCGATAATCAATCATATCGACGAGCTCTAAATCTTGTGCGCGGTCACCAATGAGGCCGAGTAAAGCAAATACCCCATCTAGTGGAACCGAACGTGGCGACATGCCGAACTGTTCAAACAGCAATTCGAAATGCCGCGCCTGTCCCAATCGAAATTGTATCAGCTCAAATGTCTTGCTTGAGAAGATTGAGTCCGGTATATCCCGAAGTTCCCAGAAATACACAATATCTTCGAATGCGTGGTAAGATAGCTTGTGCTTTCCAACCAACAATGTCAGGTCTTTCGCGAGGAGGAACTCTTGCACAATCCACATTCTTGTCCAGTATTCTGCTTTTACCAAGTGTTCGGCTTGCTCCAATTGTCTTGAGCGCTTATCAATCGGTCTGCGCAGATACCATAGATCAGTCACAGGGGATACACCAAGCCTACTGGCAGGAGGTTTTTGATCGGCGTCATGACCGAGCCAACAATTAACGCATTTGGCACTAGAGTAGATCCGCTTCATCACCTGAACCTGATGGTTTCGCTCCTCGACATCTTCTTGATTGATGCAGATCGCATCTATCCATATCACCTGCGATTGGTGTCGATTGCGGAAGGCTCGCAGGAAGTGGAAGAGATTTTCGCGTACTTTGAAGCGTTTGCCGTCTAGTAATATGGTTTTTGATGGCTCTGGTGGTCCCCAGACATAGGATCCGGCGATGTATTGATCTTCCTCACGAGAGATATAAGTGGTATATAGTTTACATTGGATTGGTAAAAGTGCGATCGGACTAGGCAGCACACGCAGAAGGCGAAAGCTATCACCATCTTGCGGAAGAGGTGAGTATTGCGTAAAGGAAGAGTTCGTAACCTCTGCGTGGTTGGGTGGAACATCGATGACTACGGCATCTGTGGACATCGTTGACAGATCGAGATACTGGAAGGAGGGAGGAAAGCTGTATGTCAGACAAGGTGCGGCTGAGCGAAGCTCACATTGGCAGCTGCGTTGGCGGGCACCGCCTCACCAACCATGAGACAGCCATGTCATGCTACTGCATGTAAAACTATCGCGAGGCTGAATAACACAACGAGTTGACCTGGTGTATCGAGGACGGATTTGCTTGCTTTAGTCAAATACTTTGAGTATTAGTGTTTGCGACGTGGAATTAGTGTGAAGGTGAGCGCGAGTGGTTGTTAAGGCCACCGGCTTACATGTGCCAGCCAACGTCAGCAATCTCAACTGAGCTGCATCATGAGTCTGGAACTGCTGTAATCTCGTCTAACTCCGCTTTTCTTCAAAGCATCTTGCAGAGCGCGTATCAAACCTCAATTGAAGAAACCCAGGAACACCAGACGATGTCTTCTCCAACAACCCCAGTAGTCCTCATCATACCTGGCGGTTGGCACAAACCCCAATCCTACATCAAGCTACACGATGCACTTGCCTACGTAGGTTTTAGGGTTTCCATACCAGAGCTGCCCTCCACCAATGGCTCTCGCCCACCGAATTCAGATCTCGCTACCGATACCGCGCACGTACGTGCCACTGTCGAAGAACTTATCAAGCAAGGCGACGAAGTAATCGCCTTGATGCATTCTTATGGCGGGCAAGTCGGTACCAATGCCCTCTCAAGCTTTTCCATCGCAAGCAGACAAAGAGCAGGGCTAAAAGGTGGTGTGAAAGACCTCATATACATGAGCGCATGCGCTGTATCTGAAGGAAAGAGCATGATGGACATGGTCCGGCACTTCGGCCACGAATCACTCATACCACTAGCATTCGATTTCGCAGACGACATGACGTGCGTGAGTCGCGATCCCAAGACTTTGCACGTTGGCGCGGATTGCGGACTACCGGCTGGCGAGATCGACAAGTATGTTGACACCCTGGTACGCTGGAATGGCCAGTGTATGTATGATGTGCTCACGACTGACCGGTGTGCGTGGCGCGATATTCCGGTTACATATATTCATTCGGCGAAGGATATGGCCATTCCGTACGATTACCAGAAGTGGCTTGTGGAGGGTATGAGGAAAGAGGGTGTGAGGGTGCAGGTTGCGACATTGGAGACGGGTCACTGTCCGAATTTGACGGCGACGGAGGGTGTTGTGGATGTTGTGCGGAAAGTGGCTACTGGTGAGCAACTGGAAGACAAAACAGAGGTGGAAGAGATGGCAAGTACAGAGCGCGTGCAAGATACTATGGCGGGTATCGGAGCTGAGAATCCTTAGTGTCTATGAGGGATACTAAGCCAGGTCATCCTCCGAATCCAATGAACTCGCCATGCTTCCCTTGTGACAGCTCTTCCGCTATCATCTCCCACTGATCTATGAACCATATTGGCCAAGTTCTCGCACGCTTGCCATACTTCTATCGGAGGTTGTTCGAGACCGTGCGAGCTGAATGCAGGTACGTCGCTCTGAAAGCGTCCCAGAGCTGTCGATCTTCCTCGCTTGTGGTAGTCGGATCGGACAAGTATGGATAGTTGCAAGTCACCGCTGTGATCGATCGCTGTATCGCGTCTTCGTGTCGTTCGAACGAAAGTAGGGAGGCTTTGTCAAAGTCGAGGATGTAGAGGCGCGTGCGTGACGCCTTGTGGAATGGTTATTCTCGTCTTGAGCTCGACTTGCAGACTGGTGCGTTAGAAACGAGATTCTCCGACAGGTGGATGCTTCTGTGACATGGTGACAGTTGTGCTTAGAGGTATTCGAGGTCTGAGCCGCCGTCAGAGTGCTTGTAAAGTTTAACGTATCCTTCAATACATGCGATACATGCGCCGGGAGTTATCCTGGCTCATTTGGCTCAGATCATGGTGAGCCACGGTTATCATGTTGCGGTTTTCCAATACAGGCATGCCTATTGGAAGCAATGGAGAGACCGCGTAAACGTCATTCTTCGTCTCTCCTCGAATCATTCGTATCGCTGCGAGGGACTGCGGAAACTGTCGATCTATGATAGTCCGGGTGTGCGCATATCGAGTCAGCCTAAATAGACTGGCCGATCGGAATTCTGTCTACGTGGTGGTCGTGTTGACGTTCGTGTTCGCAAAACACAACGGGCTCGCACATGGATCGTGCAGCTACCTCATCATAATGGAGCTAGGCTCGAAGCGGACAACATGTGATTGCGCGGCATCGCGCACACGCGTTTGAGCCAGCAGTTGGTGCCATCGAAAGCATGCTGCATAGTGCAAAAGAAAAACCATGACATATGCTGGAAGACGGTGTGCCATCTGATGAAGTCGATTACAACGATTCTTTCGATCATACGTCACGACGATGATCCGTAACAGGACCATCAAGGACGATGAACACAGTGCTACTGCAGAGTCTACATGCATTACCCCATTATGTAAAACATCTCTCTGCTTTATTTCGAGTCATGTTTCGTACATGGTCTTGCAAATACCAGCTTGCCATTCTACCAGCGTATGACAGAACTTTGGAGCTCGTACATCTTTTTACACACATCTTCATGGTATCCTGTACATGTTTCTTCATCATGATCAACCTCCCCATATTACCTTATTTAATCCTCAACAAAGAACCTCGCTGCAAAGACGACGTCGCTCTCTGTAAACACTCCGAGCCTCTCGCTCTTGACCTGCCTTAGGATACCTTGTTTGTTCTTCTTGTCCTTGCTCTCCGCATACGCGATCACGCAGTCCCTGTTCAGCGGTGGGTTGTCGTTGGTCTTCAGGCGGTCGGGGCTGCGCGGCTCCTTGGGCAAGGTACGGTGAATCATTTTGCGCTTCTTCGAGGCTGAAGACTGAGATGAGAAGGGATTGTGAAGTGAAAGTTGGGGTGTTGCAGAAGTTGAAGCGAGCTTCATTGGAGATGGAACGTGATTGCCACGTCGGCATTTAGGGGTAGTTTTGCGCTCGGGTGAGCCATCTGCCTGTGGGATGGGAGTAGGAGATGACTCAACAGGTGCTTGAGGCAATCTTGTGTATGTAGTAGGTTCGATCTCGGGCTCAGGGGTCGTATGTAGGCTCGAGAGAGGGGATGATGTATCGGTATCCCATGCTTTGGGAGTTTGAACAGTCGGCACTACGGTATTAGGCAACACTGCCACATCGGATGCATTTCCATGCTTTTCAGAAGGTCGACATCGTCGCATTCGCGCAGATGCCTCACGCAAGATTTCTTCTGGATCCTCAAACCAGATTGGACTTGCCTTCGGGCCTTGTACACCGAGTATGCCGTTACTAGAGGTTGTGCGACGAGAAGATCTTTCCTTTGTGACACGCAGATTTTGATTACTCATATCAATACCAGGCTGATCACTATCGGGCCTGGCCTTCGCAACCTTCTCCGGCTCGTGCTTCGGCTTGGATTTCTTAGCATTAACAGCGTGCTGACCAGTCGAGGCGTTTGCTTGGAAAGCACTGATTGGCTGATGCTTGTCCGCAGCCATAGATGGGTCTGGATTCTTGTGCTCTGAAGACGATCCGGGTGCTGGTGTTCCTTTCCGGACAGTACTCTTCCGTGTTCTGGAAGTGCCTGTGAACGTCCTTCCCTGCTCAACAGGATTTGCGTGTTCCTTGTCGCCATGGGTCACTGTCTCTTGAGTTCCAAGTTTAGCTGGGCTATTGAGAGACACGCCAATATGCTGTGCAGGGTCCCATCGGTGGTCCACCAATACCGAACCCTTTTGTCCATGAACAACCAAGCGTTTTACCTCGACGCTGGGATTCGCCCTCTTTGTCTTTTGTGAGGAAGAAGCTTTCTGTGGAGAGAGACTTCGCTTTGGCTTTGTAGGTACCGAGTACAGAGCTGCTGGCGGTAATGGCAGCGATAGTCGGCGGTCGAACGGCGGAAAGAGCACTTGCGGCGGCGTAGGTTCCTGGAGCCCAGCAAAAGCTGTAGCCTGTGGCAACATGTTCGGCTTGTAGAACTCAGATTTCCCAGCGAAAGAAGGACCAGCTCCAGATATATTGTATTTTGAGAGTGAGTAGTGGGTATTGGGAAAGCCAACACAGGGTTGATCAGACGAGGAGTATGCATACAGATCGGACCTCGAGGAACCATTCTGAGGTCCTGGCATCAATGGAGGGAATGATGGCGCAGCCGAATAACCTGGGCCCTGGAGATTCATTGGAAAGTGACTCAGTGGACTGGAGGATTGGCCATCATTGTTGAACGGGATCTGACGCATAAGATCAATGGGCGTGATTCCTAGAGTCGGATCCGAGAATTGAACGATATATGGTGAGGGACGCATCTGGGGCGTCTGTAAGTATGGTGAAATATCTGGATACATCATCTTCGGACCAAGCCCTGCTTGCGACGTGATGTCCACTTGTTGCTCGTATGCTCTTTCTTGCTCATGAGCCTGTGCATATACTCGTGCAAGACCTGATGACCACGGCAAATCTGGACCTGTTATCTCTGGTGCTTGGAGCACCGTAGTCTTTGGTTCAACATGGAGAGGTGGTGGAATCGACGGTATCAAAGGACCCATGGCCGGGTGCTGTAGAGCCGATGATGGAATATGTGGTATGTCCTGTGTCAAGCGTATTCTTGACTGAAGGGCCTGTCTCTTGCTGCGGAAATCATAGTCCGGATCGCTATCTCCTTCTGCATCCACATCGATAACCTCTGAGCTCGTCTCCGAGGCAGCAGGACCAGTAAGCTCACCTCTACCAACCGCCGCGTCGGCATCTTCAGCTGCAATCAAAGCTTCAAAAGCAGCCTGTCTGATCGCTTCGCGAACCGATTTGGGGGGCTTCGGCCTACGCTTTCCACGCTTTCTACGCTTTCTCGCCATCGTAGGATTCTGGGGCTCCGCATCGGTCTCGCTCTTACCAGGCGTATCTGTACGTAGTGGCATGGTAGTGCTGTCAGCATCGGGCACGAATGGGTAGCTTCCATCAACCATGCGCTTCGGTGCTTTCAGATAGCCTACACCGCTAGTGAGCTTTCTACCTTCGCCAGCAGTGATGACCACATCGATGATGCCAAAAGTCTTTCCACCTGGCTTCTGCATATTACGCACTTGTTCCGGCATTTGCATTGTCGCAAGCGCACAAAGAAAGTCGGCAGTGGGAGGCCTGTTGCCCTGTTCGTCTTGGCCTCGCTCTCGCGCTTCGATCTGGAGCGCCTGACAAAGGTGTAGCCATCGCTGCTCAACTGAAACCACTGTGGTGTTCTTCCTAGTATTGCCGTCTGCTGCCACTTCAGGCGATAGGATCACCCAAGGCCGCTCAGCAAGGAAGTCGATCCTGGTTCCCCCGAAGACCTGATGATTACTTTTCGCTCCGGACCTGACATCGTGGGTGGGTATAAATAGACAGGCGGAGAGCATTCCATTGAAGAAGACCTCGATCTTGAGGGATGTTCTCTGATTGTAGAGGCCAGAGACGTAGGTCTTGTCGGAGACATTAACGTGGAGGGCAAGTGCTTTCGGCTCGTGGAGTGAGGCGGCATCTGTGAAGCTGTGGTCAACTGCAGTAATGTCATCCGGGATGTGGACAAGGTGCGTACCTGTCGTCGCTTCCGTCTTGTCATATACATTGTTCTTGACCCGGGTCTGCATGAAAGGCGCGTTTGCGACCCAATTGAGCTGAAAAGCGTATTCATCATCGGGGAAAGGCACGACTTCCTCTTTCAGCAACTTCGTCTCTAGGAGCCTCCTTTCAGCCAATTCAGACTGCTGCTTGGCTGCGTCGCCCTTCCTTAGTATGATTTTCTGTGTAGTCGAGTCTTCGAGCGGCGTCGCGCTCAGTCGCACCGACACGCCACGCGCGAAATAGGTAGGCATGTTCAGAGCAGGTGAAGGAATGTACAAGTATTATAACATGGCTGTCGCGAGAAGCAAAGCCGCGATGCCCGGCGACTAGATGATTTCTAGGCGATTGAGTGCGCTGATGCCGTCTAGAGTGTGTCGAATATGGCGGGGTTCGGAGTAATCGTTGTGGTGGACGAGCGCTGTTGTTGCCGCGTGACGTATATCATGGGTTTCCATTTTGGGTAGGCGCCCTTCAGTGCTCTTTCCACGCGTCCTCACCACAGCCAAGTCCCGTGCTCCGATGTCCCTTTCAGCCACGACCTCAGATGTTCTATAAAAGAGCATCTCACTCTATATCGCCACTGGTGATTAGGCGAGAAAGGAGAGAGCCCACGAGCTTCGGGTAGACCGACTCATTGATGAGAAACATAATGAGAACATCGGGAGCAGACTTCATGGTAATATATGACAGCAGAAAGGGATACCTACGAAACGAAATCGCATTGAATAGTGCAATCTCCCTGCAATGCATTTGTAGGAGCTCACAGCTCTATCTCACCCCCAGACTCGACGAAGCCACCACCACTTCTTTGCTGTTCAGTGCCATTGACGCCCCAATCATCAGTAATGATACCGATCGGTGGGCCGCCTAGGACATCGCCTAGCTCGCCTATTGTTTTCTCATACACGCTCGCAACACCACGCTCTTCCCATTCGTCGTCTTCCTCATCGTCGTCATTATCTTCAAAACCTTCAAAGGTCACGGTGTCTTGACGTCCACCTGTCTCTCCCTCCCCCTCTCCCTCAGTATCAGTATCTATGGCCTCACCAACGTCATCCTCGTCGCCGACTACACTGTCCCCACTCATGACTCGTGTGACTGTGAGCCGGGTCCGATCTACAACACCCTTCAAGCGAACTTTGTCTGTTGTAGTGATTGTGCGGCCATTCTCAAAGCCAGGCAGATATTCGCCAGACGCAGTGTCGTGGCCAGTGAGTAGGGAGGAAAAGGCGTAGTCGAGCTTCGAGAGCAGGCGGAAGGTAGCCTGGGCAGAGCGCGTTGAGGACCCGAAGAGAGGGAGGAAGTCGGCGGTGAGGACGGCGAAGTTCAGTAGGTAGGGAATTTGTAGATTGGCTACATATCTTACTGTTAGCGAAGCTTGTTTTCGGGGCGAGAGCGGGGAGCATACGTGACCCAGATACCCAGACAACATCTACTAGGCCGTCGAGATCTTTCGCGACCTCCCAAAACGCTTTGTATCCTTCCTCCTCGCCCGGTACAGGCTTGAGTTTGCGGTTCGTCATGCGATTGTCCACTCGTTTCTGGATCCGGTTGACGCCATGGTCGAGGTATCGTATCAAGTCAGATTCTCTTGGCCCGCCAGGCTTCAGTGGGTGTTTGCGTGGTTGTGGAAGAGGTGACGCGTGCTGAGAAGGCGCTACGGATGACGCTGGCGGGGTAGGAATCTCAGGCATACCGACTGTATGCTTTCGCGTACGATTACTGTGTGATATGAAGGGAAGTCTTGCGCACTGTGTACTGCTAAGGTGGCAGATACAGATATAAGGTGGTGAGTAAGCTGTGGGGTACAGTCGTCATTCTACGCTGAAAGATGAGCGTGCTCCCGTTTGTCGCGTGCGTGCGAGGATGGATACGACCGATGTCCTTTCAGATGGATGCTTGCACACGTAGATGTTGCACGTAACCTAGACTTGGAGTTGCTGATGATGAAATGACGTTCACAGGTGGTAGCTGCGTTGCTGCCATAGCTCCCACCCTGTTCACATCACCCCGCAACACTAACATCAGAGCGTCTTCCAGCTTTCGCCAGATCTCCAGATTCGCAGACACTTTCATTGTAAAGAGGCCGTCAGCAAACTTGATCATTCTGGCTACTCCTCGTGCTCACGTGCCTGCACATCTTTTCGCCAATCTGTTATTAGTGCCTTCTCACAAATCAAGTTCTACCGGAATACTCCCAGCACACTAGGCAGCGCCTTCGACAAAGACTCACATTGCGCCTTTTCAGGAAAATGATCACTTTTCCGTGAGAATCGCAACATAACGGGAAAGTTGCACATTTCGGAGTTGCGTTGCTTCGGAGTTCAGCTGCTATTCCGTGCTACCAATATGGCAAAGTAAGACGCCTACGACATCGGCCCGCAAAACTGCTGCCCCTGAGTGGACAGTGGGACGTGATTGCGCTGATTAATTCCCAGCGCCCTTCTTGAGTGCTGCGCGTGCGCCCTACATGCCAATGTCGACATGCATACCTGATTAAGCCACCAACCTAGCAATCTCACATGCTCACACGCGGACAATCTGAATCATTTGCGAAGTCGCCCCTTTTCTAGAAGTCTTCTCTAGCTGCAAGAGAGGAAAATTTGTTAACAAAAGCAACATCGGAGTGCTCCGATGGTTGGACGAGGTTGAAACGCGACATTTATTGACTCTACCATTTAACGGCATAACGTTGAAAATTTGCAAAGAGACCAATGACACAACGTATCCACTTGTCGTGTACCTTCAACGCGAGCAGTCAGGAACGTGTCGCGCTTGGTCTACTTTTATGGTATGAGATCGTGTAGGGCTGCTTTGAGGCTCCAACTAACCGCTAGAGTACCGCCATGGCTGATCGGTGCGCTCCAAGCTAATGCGATCATGACGGAAAAGATCCCAGAACCTGGCTAAAGCGCCTTCGAGACCGTTGACACGGTGGAGACTTTCTGGTGTCGTCGCGTACTCAGCTTCGAGAGATGTTGATGCCCGCACCTACAAGGGCCTAGCGCACAACGCTATCGGCGTAGGGCGTGGTTTGTGGTGGAGGATGGGTGACTCCCCCCGTTGGCGAATCCGACGGCAAACCTGCAAGCGCATCTCAGTGCATCATCCATGTGCAGCCTGCAACCCTTCTCATCACTTATCCAGCCCTGGTACTGTGCCGCTTGTAGATGACTCAAGACAGGGCGTGCCTGATTGTTTTGTATAAGAGAACCTGAGGCCCACTCATTCACAGCCCTGGAATACAGACATCTTATCTTCACTCGCCACCAAGACTAGTCTGATCGCTTCCTATTCGCACTACCCCAGCTCTCCGCATTCGGGACGTCTTATCTGAGGATCACAACCCCGCTTTTCGTGTGACTATTCCTTGGCTGTTGCTTTCAGCTCGCTGGTCTTGAGACACGCGACATCTTCAACATGCCTTCTTCATCGAGCGCGTCGTCGTTTGCGCCGCCAGACAGGATGCAATCACTTGGGAGCCAGATTGGCTACAAGGTTCGCAACATCTCGCATTATGGCGAACCAACAATTGCGATCGACCTCAACGAGACTGGTGGCCACAGTCATAAGTTCATCACAAGCTATTCTTCGATGGATACTATCGAAGGCACAGTCACTATAACCGCACCGCACGACATTCGCTTTGAGGATATCGATATTGCATTCATCGGTAAGAGACGACTAGTGTTTTGGAATTGATGGTCATGACCTAACACAGCACAGGTACAAGCCAGGTATACGTCGACAGGATGACAACCTCCCCCACCATGACTGGGCGGACAGAGGCAAAGCACCGGTTTTTGACTCTTAGACAACCAATAGACGAATCAAACTTCCCCACTCCAAGAGTATTTGAAGCTCATAGAGCTTACAAGTTCCCATTCACATTCACCGTCCCATCGCAACTACTTCCAAAGGCCTGTTCACATAGTGTAGCCTCAGACCACATCCGCGACATGCACCTTACGCTTCCACCGAGCATTGGAGACCCTGATCTTGCTGGCTTTGGCAGTACATTACTCGATGATCTTGCACCGGAGATGTCAAAGATCACTTATGGGATTCAAGTCAAGATCGCGCAGAACCGGGGATCAGAAGGCATGACGCTGCTTTGTGAAAAGCTGAAGAAAGTTCGCGTCAAGCCAGCTTTCCCAGAGCAGCCTCCACTGAACATTGATCACAACGACGAGTACCGATCGCGACAGGAGAAGACAGTCAAGAAGGGTTTGTTCAAAGGAAAACTCGGAACCTTATCCGCGAAGACCGTGCAACCGCCACCCCTTGTCATACCAGGCGCACGCACAGAAGGAAGATTAATCACGACTATGGCTAAGTTGATTCTTCGATTTGATCCCACAGAAGAGACCAGCACACCACCGAAGCTTGGCTCGTTGTCGACGAAGATGAAGGTCTTGACCTACTATGCATCACTTCCCCGACAGAATCTCCCAACACGATCAACCCTTGGCTTCGACCTATCGCAAGGACTATACTCCGAATACGTACCCCTATCGAATCTCTGCATTGCTTCCGCCCAATGGGAAAAGCACGACTCGGCACAAAATCCCAGTCCAGAAAGCCTAGTCCGACGCGATTCCGGCATCAGCGACTGCTCAACTATGAGCGAAGCGGAGGAGGCCTTCGCCATGGGCATTCTACCCGCATCCAAAGACTACAAGCAAGGCCTGTTCTACACTGCTCAAATACTCGTCCCAATCACCCTCCCCACAACACAAAACTTCATACCGACATTCCACTCCTGCCTCATCTCACGCACATACACACTTGCACTGCAGTTTTCCGCCCACGGAAGCTCAAGCATACATCTTAAGGTTCCCGTGCAGATTTGTGCTGAAGGCAGTGACACTGGTATCGAGAATGCCAGGGCCAGGAGTGTGGAAGAGACTGCTTTAAGGGCTGCAGCTGACGTCTTTGCGCCGCGCAGTGTTGCGCCTCCGAGTTTCGAGACAGCGAGGAGCGCGAGTGTTGGAGCGAGAGACGATATGCCGCCTGGATATTCGGCGTTTGCGCCGTCGACTACGAGGTATAGTGTGAGTCACTCTATTATCGCTTGAATATGTTGTTACGGCAAGAACAGTCACGACGATGGGAAGAGATTCATTGCGCAACAATTTGGTGACGAATGAGACTTGTCCTTGATACAGATTGATTTTGGTTTCAGGCGTTTGGCAGAAGCGGTACCAGGAGTTTTCGTCACAACCGCAGCTTACTCTCAATTCGAGTAGCTTCTTTTCATTACTAGATCATCAACTAGATACCCAGTATACCCAATAATAAACGTAATACATTGAAATCTCGTTGTTCGTTCTTGCCTCCACCATTACCCAGACCATAGATCGTGTGATGATGGCTTGGCGTGTCCGTGCTCCTCCCGCAGCTTCCCAATCACCCGACTCAGTCATCAGCACACCATCACCCAATCATCGTTCTCCATCAAGACAATCAAACTCAACAATGGCTGAGCATCCTTCTTTCACATTGGCAGGCTTGTGTAAGTGCTGTAGGGGGTCTGCGTATCCAGAAGCTGACTGAAAGATGTAGTGGCTGTCGGAGGAACCGCGGGTTTTCTCCGAACACGCTCAACACCCAGTCTTGTCGCTGGACTCGGATTAGGTGCTTCGTATGCTTTTGCAGGTTAGTACTCCAGCACACGTGCTTGTGATATCAGCTTACTTGCGATTGAAGGTTACCGCATCAAGCAGAATCAGGACTACGGTACTGAACTCGCGCTTGGCAACAGTATCATGCTGCTAGGTTCGGCTATTCCACGCATCATGAAGACGGGCGGACGCGCCCCTGTACCGATCGCATTGGGTGCGACCGGTGCGTTGGCGACTTATTACTACCAGAAGAAGGTCCGCGAGTTTAGGTATGGCGTATGAGGAGGATCAAGGCTCCACCAAGCGAGGACTTGCATGAGGACGACGACCATGTACGATTACGCGGGACACCTTTCCTATCCTGCTTCACTTCTAAGTATCAACACTCCACTCCCGTCTTTCTCCACCGAGTACATCCTCTTCTGTGCCTTCTTCTCATCTTCAATGCTTTCCAACTGCGGAGTTTGCTGCGCAATCATCATCATACCGTCAAGCTCCACCCACGGGCCTGGCGCCATCCAGTACCGCAACGTTTGATACATGCCAAAGCAGAAAGTCAGCAGCACAATCACGAGAATGGCGACCGCTGCCCACTCCCATTTCAGACGAGGACTAGATCCATACAGCTGCCACTGAATGGGGTAAGATGAGGTTCTCTCCTCGGGTCGAGCAGGCAAAGACGACGGGAGGGGAGACCAGTACTTATTACTCGTGCTAAGAATGTTCTGCAGCAGTACACCAACGATAATCGACAGGCCCATAGCGTCGGAATTGACTACCGGATCAGCCGTCTGCAAATTGCGGCTCATGAGCAGAAATTGGGGTAGCAGTCCTGTCGAAGGGACCAAAGGCTCAAGTCTCGGCATGACGTCGTGCGCCTGACCCCCCACACCACGGGCAACATCCAAGTCGCTTGTAATTGTTGGTTCGTATACGATATTTTGATGCCATTCAGCACCATACCCGTTGAAGCTGAGATCAGGGCTTTCACTTTCAACAATCCACACACTAACCGCGTACTTTCCATGCCGAAAGGTGCTGGAACATACGGCGCCAGTAAAGCCTAAAGAAGAAACAGGCCCGAGGTCGATTGAGATAACTGCTCCAGACGCATCGTTCTCAGCTGGCGGCTGAACGTCGATCGAACCCTCCGAACTTGAGGAGACAATTGGCGTGCAGACTGTATTGAGCACTGGCAGCATTAGCGTCAAGTTACCTGTCCAGCCAATAGATGAAGATGTCGGTTGATGTCTCGTCTTCTTGAGCCAGTCGTAGATGTTCGTTATCTGCCCATCATCCGCTGATACCGTCTCGACTACTCCATTGGAACGGCCGAAATCGGTATTGAGCGCAGTCCAGCGCTTCCATGGATCTCCGTCCAAACGGTAATCGTAAATATGTCGCCAACCCTTCTGACTTTCCCTAACTGTTGACACCATATGCGTTAAGCCGACAAAAGTAAGAGAAGCAGACATGCCAAGCGCCCAGTCCCATAGAGGGTAGCCTTCCCCTCCGATGTTTGATTGACCGACACCGACCATATTCCCCCAGTCTACGCCTTGCAATAGCACTTTGGGGTACTCGATATGCATAATTTTTCGATCGCCCGGCGTCGTTCCCCATTTCGCTTGCAAGTTAGGGTACCATCGCTTCTTCGGTATCGCAACAGTATTGATAGCGAGACCTTGCAGCATAACCGAGATAGATACGCAAAGACAAAGAATCAAACGAAATACGCTTCTCCAACTCCATTTCCAACTCGACCTCCGGCCCCTTGTGATGAAGCTGGCGACAGTCATCCAAGGCTTCGTCAACTCATCCTTCAATCCAAAGTCATTGTACGTCGCACCGTGTCTACCGCCCACAACAGTAGGAGCTCGAGCCATCCAGACTGTGAGAAGAAAAGACGCCATGTACTCCAGAGAGCTCACCAGAATCACGTCCAGACTTTTGTTGAAGAAGCCGAGGAAGGCTAGCTTGAGATCCGCATCCACTTCTTCACCAAACACACGACTGAGACCTATGGAGATGTATGTGCGCGTTGCGCCGAGTGTGATTCCGGCAGTGATGATGCCAGTGGCGACGATGCGGATGATTATCATCCAGTAGTCGAAAAGCTTGAGTTGCGGTCGTGTTACGCTCGCAGGACGCCGTCTGGCTTCGAGGAACGCCGCATTGGCTTTAAGGTATGTCGCGTTGGCAGCCGTGGCAACATCCTTTCTATGTAAAGTCAGTATTGTTTACTCACAGCTACCAGATCATTACATGAGGACTGTCAAAACTGCTGCTGCGTAGTCGCGCATCCTGCGCGCTGTTGTCTTTGCCGGGGCCTTTGAGGCCATGCTGTTGGCCTTTACACACGTCGAACTCGAAACATTTGGAATATGTCGAAAAGTTGTTCACCTCTAGTTACAGTTGAAGTGAGAAAGAGGTTCTCGGGCGACGCGTCTCTCGCGTTACGCGAGCATGAGGCTGAAGGATCAACAGGGTGGAGACGTATGCGTGTTGGCCCCATGCATGATAGCCACAAGCTGTACGTATGCTCTTATCTGTGCGATCAGAACTGCGCTATTTCCACCAATCACGGACTGAAAGACGATATGATCATTATACATTTCAGGCTACATCGAAAAGCAGTGGAGGTGCTCGGTTCCGATAATCTACCAACTACAAGATGGATCAATGCTGAAGGCCTCAACATCGGCCGCCATATCTGGGAAGAATCCGTACTACCCCCAACGAATGTCAGTATCGATTTGCTGATCGGAGGCTCACGGCAAGGCGGACGAGAGAACACAACATAGCGCTTACCCTAGGGGATTGAAATACCAGAGTACTACTGTCACTCAAAGACTAGAGTATATGTCCTGGGGCAGTATTGAGACGGCCGCTCCTACAAAGTGCCCTCCAAATCCTTCCAAAAAAGGGTGCTGTGTCTTTGGGTTCTAAACAGTATATTCCTCAAGGACGGAAAAGAAAGGCTCTACTACCGCTACCATGCCGTGATGGATTCCACAAGGACGAATACTGTAGAGACTCGAAGACCACGATGCCGTATGTACCAATACCGTACGGCTGTAACGAGACGACCAAAGAATTATGCGCAGCAGAAACGCGTGGCAGAAGCCCAAGGGAACCCACGAAGCATCCCACGACTTGGAGGAAAAGTGCATCGAATGAAAATACATAAGGTTTATATGTCTACAGACTGGATAAGTGATCTTGCACTCCGCCCAATACGGCTTAGTCGCAAGCGATTTATTAGACGATACGTCATCTCTACTTAAACATCTGGGTCCTGGCGGAAGAAATCTCCCAAGCTGGTTTGCTCGACATTAGGAAATCGAGCAACATCCACTGGCTCAAAACCCTAGGACCGAGTTGGAATATGGACTTGATAACAATACCGTATATACTCGTACCACTCTTTCTTCTCGTACCCGGCTCTTGCATCGTTCAATTTTGCCTTTGCATTCTCAATCGCTCCTAAACAGTTGAGAGTAACATGTCCACCGCCACCCGTCGCCGCTTTATACGTACTGGCAATGTCTTCCGGCGAGGCCTGAAAGCTCTGGACGCAAACGAAACCTCCTTTGGCCGCATCCGGAGCGGTTATTGCCTCGAGCGTGTAGTCGGCAATGTCGTCAGCGGTAGTGTACGACCACGAATGCTGGTCTCATATGGATTGCAGAAGACCTGCAGCTCAATGTTCTGAGAATAACTGCATGATTTTGGAAATCTAACTGACTTGATGTCATCACTCATCTTTGGCGCACTGGATTAGCGCCGTTGCACATGACGGCTTTCCCTGCCCAAATGACTCGATTCTACAACAAACATTTCGTTCATTCTCACCATAATCTACTGGATCGATTACAGATTATAAATTCTTGACTATGGCTCACAAATCTCCCTTAGTGGTGCTTGTGAGCAGTCGCGCCCATTTGGTCTCCGGACGCGATAGCGTAGTAGGATCCTGCAGCAACAGCTATTCCCGTTCTCAAAATATACCCCATACAGTCTATCCAAAGTCTGTAGTACCCTTGCGTAGCTAAGGCCCATCTAACGGCTCCAAAAGAAGGAAACCGAACCTCGACTTCTGCTTCTAACAACGGTAGTTTCAAACTTGATCTCAGTCCAATCTAACGGCGGCGAGATGACCTCGAGTGTTGTTGGGAGATACTCCAACAGCCAATCCACCTGTTACATATAGGATCCTCTCTGACTGCCAATATCCAAATGCTACCGACGATGCAGATCCTAGGAAAGGAGAATTAGCCGCTATACGCTGGGTTTTGTTCGCAATGTCGACCTCGACGATCTCATTAGGACCGTTTGTAGCTATCCAAGCATGTGAACCCTGAGGAGAGATCGTGAAATCGTCGCCGTATGTAATGTTTGTCGCAAGGACCTCGACCGCGCCAGTAGCATAGCCAGTTTCAAGAGATATCGGGATCCTAGCAAACAGCCCTTGGTCTAGGCTTGTGAAGTATAGTGCTTCATCGTAAACGTGAATGCCGTTGATGCCAACACTTATACCCGTATCAACGGGATCGAACTCTGGCTCTTCCAAGACGATGTTGTAGTCTCCGGTTTTGACGTTCAGCTTATACACCGTACCGTTCGCCGAGTCGGAGATCAAAAGGTTGGAGGTATCGTTCGTAGACAAAGTAGTCAGACCGTTTAGTTGTCGTGCCGTACATAACTCCTTGATCAGAGATGCTTTTGCCTGGTGAGAGGTATCTCCAGAAGGTGTAACGGTAGAGTTGCGCAGGTCAATCTCCCAGACCGCGTTCGAACATGCGGTTCCAGTCAGGTTGGAGGAAATAACGTAAAACAAATCCGTCTGTAGCTCGGCGATACCTAGTATACCTGTGAAAGTGGGTATTTCGGCAACAGGTACAGGCAAGTAGCTAGCGTTGGGCGACATTTGGTATAACAAGGAAGAGGCAACAGAAGTGACAATGACTTCGCCGGTTTTTCGGATCGCAAGGTTTTCGAACGTAGGAACAGTCGGGACGACGTCAACGAGTGCAACATCGAAGTTTGGTTGGGTGTCAAACTTGTCTGTTGATGAACACGATATGAGTGCTCCCCCAAAGAGTAAAAAAGCCAGATTTTGTGATAACATAGCTGTGCAGACGTGAACGAGGATAATTGTGAGTTGGGACTTTGCTGAGAACGAGCAGATGCGTGCATATATATCAGTGATTCTGAACGTTCCGTGATGCGTACCTAAGTAACACCTGGCGGGCCCATGTTGCAGTAAAATCACATTACAATTTCTTTCCAGCTTCGGGGAAACCTCAAGTCCGCTCGGAGTTAGAGTGTACGGCCAAGGTGGTAGCTTTTCTGTTACCACCGACTGCACAGGCAAGCCGATCGCTTTGAGCAAGCTATCTACTGCTGCCGAGACTATATGAGAATGGATATGGGTCTTTGGGACCGCCGGAGTTGTGAACTCTGTCAGGCGAGTGTCATCGGTTGACGCGAACGAGAGCGAGAGCGAGAGCGAGAGCGAGAGCGGTCCTCGCAAAGACAAATGTTATGCAAGCGAACACTGTTGTGGCTAGTTGTTTGGTATCCTGGGCATCCGGCAAGCCCAAGTGGATAATCCTTGGCCATCCGCTGTGGGGATAGATCTTGGCGTGTCTTCGATGACCAATAACGACAGGCCAGAGCGTTCAGCACTCACCTGAGCACCGTGCGACATTCGAAGAAGCTAGGTAGCATAGCAATGCATCTTTCAAGGTGACCCGGTCTAGAATCAAAGTATCGTCGTTGTGCAAGTCAATACTTTGCCTTACAGTCTGTCTGATCTACCTTTGTAAAGCGAGCATTGCCATCTTGATCCCTAGTTCCTTAGTCTCTAGAAGCACTACATTCTTCACTAGCGATTTAGTGCCCTGCATTCTCTATTCCGTTCCTTCTATGGTCTATGGATTGATTATGACACACGATCTGCCCCCTGAAACGATTCTTGGGTGGCTTGGTTTCGATCTACATTCGAGCAAGCAAAATTCTCTTTGCTGGTTGACGTAGCACGGTGATTGAGCGGCGATTAGAAAAGATTAAAGTTCCGGCCAATGCTTCTGGAGTTAAGGTAAGCTAGCTCCGCTTACTTGTAGAACTACCTTCAACCAATCTGTCTATACATATACATGTGCTTCACAGGAGTCCTTGAGTCATTACTCAACATTGAACGGACCGATCTCGTTCCTCAAGTAAATTCCCAACCAAATCATACCTACGTATTCAACAGTAATAGCCGTTTCACCTTACACAAAGACATTCCGCAGAGGCTCCTATGCTGGTGGGATTGACCCTTCTCGTCCTGAACTCTCCACATCAAGAAAGGCTTTTCTTATCACAGGCGATGGTTCTGGTATTGGATGTCGCATAGCCCATGCATTCGCAACTTCTGGATGCAAGAAGATCGCTATCCTTGGACGAACTGTTGGCAGCCTCGAGAAGACCAAGAAGGAGATAGCTTGCGTGACAGTTCACGTAGAGATTGCTGATATCACTGATACCGAAACGGCCAGCAAAGCATTTGGGGCCGCCTCTAAAGCCTTGGGCAAGATCGATATAGTTGTTGGCAACGCAGGCTACTTACCGGATACGAAACCCATCGCGCAAGCAGATACCGAGGAATGGTTCAGGGGGATGACAATCAATGTCAAAGGCACCCTGAATCTTACCAAACCTTTCCTCCAGTACGCCGCGAAGAAACCGACGTTCGTGCATGTATCAACCGGCGGATGCCACATTGAGCCCATGCCTGCAAACGGCGGGTACGCAGTAAGCAAAATAGCAGCCGCTAGATTGATGGAGTATTTCGCCTTCGAGAACCCGCATGTCTGGGTCCACAAAATTCACCCTGGCGTTGTGCAGACAGAGATGTTTAAGAAAAGCTCCGAGCTTGGTATGTAGTTCGAATTTGATGACATTGAGTTGTCCAGTCTTTTGTTGTTTTGGAGTGAAGCCGAACCTGTGCTAACATATGGTGTAGTCGAACTACCAGCGTCCTTTGCAGTTTGGATTGTCAGCTCAGAGGCAGAAATCTTGAAGGGAAAGTTTGTCTGGTCGAACTGGGATGTTGAGGAGTTGAAGGCCAAGAAAGAGCAGTTTAAATCCTCGCAAGATCTTACGCTTGGTGTTCTGGGGTGGCCTGAAAGATGCGATTGTGTGTTACCAATGATATCGTACACATACTTGATGCATTTGCACCGTCGCGTATTGAGATTTGTATGTTACCTCACGGGTATCTTATTCAAGCTTTATGCTACTATCATGATGAGCATCAAAACTCCACCATAGAACTGACCCGACTATCTTGTCTCCTTAGCGGAGTGCTGTCTTGATCTAGCAACGACACAGTTGAGCTCATTACCTGATCATCCATAGCATGCGTCTTCTCGCCATCAAACCGGAAACTCACCATGATCTTACGGCTAGCAGCCGCCATCGTACTCGCTTCCATCAGCCCTTCCACCTGGTCGCCGCCCGTGTCTTTGTCAGAAGGCTGTATAGGCAAAGCTTTAGCATCTCGTGGCGCGATATCCTGACCGTAGAAAAGTAGTGGCAGGATACTTTCTTTCCAAATCGGTATGCTGTGCCGATGTTGCCAATTTGTGATGATCGTCCACATGGAAAGGATGAATGTGACCAAGGTGAGGCCGATGGGAAGAAGGAGCCACTCTGTACGCATCGAAACGCAGACTTTGGTTTCCCATGCTGTCCCCTGGACTAAGTCTGAGATTGAGAGCTCAGCTGTGGTACCTGCTGGGGCCGTGCTGCCGTATTGAAATCGAAATCTGTTGGTCATGGCATGTGCGATAGAATCGAAGATCTTCGTGACCGTTTTATGAGTTGTTTCATTCGAAGCCAGCGATCGGAGTATCGAACCCACACCTACATTAGACATGTAAGAGTCATAGTTCTCCCCATGAGAAACCTCATTTTTCATGCAAATCCGAAAATCGTCGCAGTAACCGTCGAAAATATCAACATTCATCACCGTGGCGATTGCTTTAACAAACTTCGCATCTTGCCGATAGATGCACTGGTTGGGCCAAGTGATGTTGATAGAGGTAGGTTTCTCTTTACCGAAGTCAAGCAGAGATAGATTCGTTGTCTTGATACCCTCAGGCAATTGATCCTCCATGTGGAAGGTACGTTCGCCTACTCGGCAGGGCGCCTTTATTGATGCATATCCGGATTCGTTGTTCGAATGAGCGTTGAAGATTTCGAGATCCCCCCCAAAGTTGAAATGAGCAGTATTGTTCTCATCCAAGTATGCACTGCGGCTGGCTGAATCGATGCGCATGATCTCAGACTGCGTTTCCTCCTCGTGCAACTGGTTGTCTTTAATTATGCTAGTGTACGTACGCATGCACGGATATAGACTGCAAACAGATGCAGTGATTGGGATGCTGACAGAAGTCAAGAGGGTTGCGTTGACATATGCCCATCTAGATGCCTCTCTGGCGCTATCTGTTAGTAAGCGTGTCATCCAAGTAAGGTCTGGGGTTGGCCTCATCATAGCCACAGAAGAGTTTCGAGAGTCTATTGAGAGATTGAACCCGTTAGGTAATGTGAGCGACTTCAACCAAGGATTGTCTGAAGTCGGTATTCCTGCTTGCGTCACGAGAGACGCCACATCCGTACATATGTTACACATTCCAACAGTCGAATGTGCAGTACGGTTATCGTCGTTGAAGGTTTTGTCCCGAGAGCATCCAGAAATTAGATCACCGAAAGTACAATTTCCCGTGGGACAGGTCATGTTGACCTGGTTCTCGATTCCGTTGGGTGATACGACACTCGATATGATTGCGGCAATGATTTCTGGCTGAGGGATACTCGTTTCTGGGAAGTCTATTCCACCTCCTGGTACCCAATGCGCGAAAGGAAGCGACGCGCTGATGTTCGAGCTAGGGAGCGAGCATGGTGCTATGCCGCTGGCCTGCTGGACGCAAGGCCCCACCAAGAATGACGTAAGTAATACAAGTGCCGCCATAAGTGTTATATGGTCCTTGGACAAAACAGTAGGTACTAGAAGCATCGCGCCATATGCTCCGCGGCTACCGTAATCGAATTGCTGTAGATCTGCTAATGGTCGGGGTTCTTTGACGCTGTACCAGTCCCATTTCCTTTGCGATATTATTTGAGCGACGATGATCACAAGTAGAGCTCGAAGGATCGTTAACAGAAGCGCAAGAAGAGCGTTGAGGTTTAAGTTGTTACCCCAGTTCGGTACCGGCTTGCCATTGTAGAATGCTAAAACGCCCGAAATCGAGGCTATGAGGACAATCGCAAGAGCAACAGTAAGAGTTTCCAGGGCCCAACTACGGAATATATGGTAAGACCGCATGATGTGGATAGGCAGAGGAATTAGCTAGGTAGGAAGTGGGGTCAGATAAATATGAACGGAAGGCGCAATGCCGCATTCAAAAACTGCGGGGATATCATTGATCTACTGCGAAAACACTATGTGAGCTGACGTTGTCTTCCATGTTTCGAAAGCTGAAGTGCAGGAAGCTGAGCTGCAGGAAGGCTGAACTGCAGGACGGCCGTGTTACACCACTTTCAGAAAAGCAAAGTCAGAAGCTCTCATTCGCTGTGTATTCTCGCCCCCATGGAGTACGAACCAACCACAAGTGTTTGCCGAAACGCTGCAAAGCGTTCTCTTAACAATAGAAGGCGACGGGGAATGTATGTCGGAACACCTCTTCCACGTTTACTTTCTCTTGTCTTGCAGTCGACTCATTACGTCTGGCATCTGCACTCTTATACTTGATCCCGTTCAAGGAGCGAACACACAGTCTAACCCCAAATCACTGTCGCAATTCTTATCTTGAGGACAATCATCTACGATTACGGCGCCAACTTTCTCATACCTGGCGGTGCTGGTGCCTTCCAATCACCATATAATCGCCACCTCAGCCGCGCCCAACGAAGTATAACGTTTGCATAATACAGACCTTCTGGCCGCATTTCTTGCTCTGACACAAACTTTTCAACAATCCAATCCAAACTAGCAGCCCTACTGTACCCCAGAACTCCTAACTCCTTCATGCTGAGCTTGCCATATCTGAAGTTTATCGTGGTCTTGTCTTCTTCAAAGACAGCGTGGAGAAGCTTGCAGTAACCGTCGATCCAGAAGTCGCAATAAGGATTCATCTGATTGGAAAGAGCTGTGGTGAAGTTTGTGCTCGTCTTTAGGGACTCGGAATGCTCTTCGATTGTCTCTTGCATGATGTCGGAGAGGAAGAGGAAGAGTTGTCGCTGTAGCTTTTCCATCGAGATTGTAGTGATTTGTTGGGGTGCGCCGGTACTTGGAGGGGGAGTGAGCGTCAAATGGATGACGGATTCGGGATGGAAGCGCGGAAAGATTAAATGATACATCAAATAATTGATGTTGACTCGGACAACCGAGAGAGCAATTACCTCTGCAGGCGCGATCTCCAGTATGATGGTTCGTGCGTTGTATCTGTTCAAGTGCTTGGCCACTCCATAGAGCCCTTCACTGTTGCCACGCATGGTCATGAAATTATTCAACTTCTCGAATTTTCCAAACTCTGTGATGGCTTGATCGCTAGTCATCTTCAATGTGATGTTGTTCAAGCGCATTGCAACTCTCGATAGATCGTACGCGTCGAGCAAGCGTGCCTGGAAGAGACCGAAGTCGAAACCATGCATAATGTGCGTAGTCAAGTCAATGGTAATTCCATCTGGGTTGTGCAGCAGCATTCCTACGATGCGCTCTCGCACGTCTTCTGGTAGAATTTCGAACGAGTGGCGCTTCTTCTGCGCCTTCCATTGGACTGTTCTGCCTTCGTCTGATGCACAAAACGGCCAGAATACCCCTCCTCCAAGATTCATACGTATACAACCCTGTCTCACTCGACCCGAACTCAACTCAACGTTGACCGAATGCATGAAGCGACGGGAAAAGCGATACTTTCGGAGGTCGAGGACGTCTTGTACGGCAAGAGTTGTAAGCAAGTTGTTGAGTAGAATCGCTCCGTCAGTGGCCGCCTCCCTGTGGATCTCCTGACCGTCCAGTGTTCTGCCAGTGTTCTCGAATTTGATGACCTTGCTGAGATCGGGATGTTCTCATACAATACGTAATACAGGCAGCAAATCAATCATGTCGTAATCACCGTGGCATCCGTACCACGCACACATGGCGTCGACATCAATGACGACTTTCGTGAGACGAAAGATTTGTGGTCCAATAATTGTCAGCCATTGACCAGCGTAGTTGACCTGGAGATATTCTTGGTGCTTGTGATTCGTGCCAATGCGGTAGTCGTGGCGTGTTAAAATCCTGGAGAAGACAAACGTGTTTCCGCCGTACAGGATCCCAGAGGCTTCCTGATATACTTGGCGACAGGATAACAAGAGACCGAGTCCCTGGTGCAAGTCCGGCCAAAACTCTTCGTCAGTTCCAATTTCAGCCTCATATGCGTCATAGTATTGCTGTAGACCAGTGTGGTAATCCTCCAGGTCCCGACATGGCAGATGGAAAGCATCCGCATTATGGAGTAGAACTGAATCCTCGCGTTTGAACAGGTATCCGTACACCTTATTGCGAATCTCCGGGGGGTAGTGTAGTGGGAAACGACACCTCGAATGGGTGAGTAGGAGAAGACCGAGCTTGAATTTGCATAGCTTTGAAATTGATCGATTGATTGCAGTGTTAAAAGTACGATCGGTGGGTCGAGCAGCAATGGAAAGTTGATAGGTGAGGCCTGATATACTACATAGGCAGGAACGAGCGCACGGACGGAGAGAGTGTGTGAATCCGCTCCCGAGATTGTGAACGATGACCAGCACTCGCTGCCTATAGTGTGACTGAAGCTCAAGTCCACTATCACGCAAGTGAGCCGATCCTCGAGCGACTTCACAGGAAAACTTACTCACCGCGTCGTTACGCCTATCGCGTCTCGACACCCACAGCAGTGTCTGCGCGTCGAGTCTCTAGCCTATTCTCTGTCACGTACGCGAACCACGGTAATGATGCTGGTGTCGCGCAGTTTACAGTCGCAAGCGATGCATCCTGTGGTTGCTGATATAGCTGTCCTCCTCTTGAAGCAGCCAATAAATCTCTTTAGGCAACAGATCTTCGTGTTTGTCCAGCATCGTACCTATAAATTGCCTTACAAACGCATTCCCAATACGTGATCTAGGGTGTAAAGTGCGACGAAAGTAAAGCAGAGGTTGGAGCTCCACGAGATAGGTGTGGGGATACAAAGCAGAAGCTAGGTGGAGCTAACCGCGATAGCTAGATGACGAAAGCTGCTGACGCCGTCATTGTAGAAAGAATAATAGCTTTACCAAACACTACGCGATGGATCCATGGGATTATCGAGAAGAAGTGCCAAACCCACGACAAGACCTCGGATGACGCGTTCGGAGGCGCATACAAGCACCAGATCTTCAGCACGAGGCCAGCGTCGTTCGCACATGTCGAGTGACTAGCATGTGAAGGGGCAAAGATGGTACGCGAATGGCGCGAAAGCGGAGAAAGGACCGTATGTATCTTCACACGCGCAACGTAGATTTGATTCTGGGTGGCGCAGTTGCACAGCCACATGGTCCATGATTCGCCATGCTCTAGAGCTCTCCGTGGGCTATGCGACAGGCATCCTGACGTAACCTGCAAGCGCCGAAACTCGAGCAGGTTGCAGATGGGCAGTCGACTCCCTGTCGCTTGCATTCCATAAAAAGGTCGCTGCTTCTGCACTGGCACACCAAAATAGAAGATACCCCTCCTGCTTATACCCCTCGAGAGACGCCTAATTGCTCCTCTGTCTTTGTCCCCACCCACCTACCAAGCTCGATACCCCGCGAGACACGTATCGCAAGCATGAGCGGCCATGGAGATCCTCGATTGCTCTACACGGTCGGAGGCATCAAGGCCTACCACATCCAACAGGGAGAAGAGAGCCCCCTCACACCCTCAGGGCCGCAGACGCTCTCGCTGCTAATGGTCCCTACCAACTCGCCCTTTGCAGATCTCAGCAACACGCGCGGCCAGAACGAAGCGCCCGAAGAAGACTTCTACCTGCACCTGAACCTGCCTCCTGAGCTCGACCTCCCACTCCCCGCGACGACGCAGATCTACCACCAACCGCCGCGCAGCTACCTGATACCGCGATGGGACTTGGGCCCAGAGAGCGGCGCCTTCACACGGATTGAGTTCCCGCCAATTGGCAAGGGCTCGACTTCGGTCACGCAGGAGGACGTCGACACCTTCGAGACTATCTTGGCGCAGTGCACAGCCTTCCTCGAGCGTGCGCAGGCTCCCCAGCACGAGAAGGGCAAGGGTGACGTCAAGGCATACAACCCTCAGGACTACCGACCAGGCGAGGGTTACGTAGGCAGCGGCAACAATGGCGAGGTCGTCCTGGTCGACGAGGAGAATGGTAGCGTCGTCGGTGAGCTGGCTGAGGGTGCCATGATCCACGCCGACCCAGCACTGAAGCAGGGCTCCAAGAGTATGTTGTTTGACCCTTTTTTCGCGCGTACGCATATCGCTCATGCTAACACAGGCAAAGATCCCGTTGAAATCGTCGTCTCCCCAGACGGCAAGCGCATCGAAATCCGCCCGCTCGAAGAAGACTACCTCGACATGGCCCGCCATCCCGCCTACAAAGACTCCGGCCTTGTACAAAACGCCGCTGCAGCATCTCGCCTTGTCGTCACTGGCTCCAGCTACATCAGTAACATGATGGTGTCTGGTGCGGAGAACTTTATCAACAAGACCAAGCCTAACGAGAAGCCCATGGTCTTCAAGCCCGCGACCCACGAGCGCGTCCGCAAGATCAACACTCTCACGACCGGTGTCGCTGGCTACTCGGCCAAGACTGTAGGCCAGCTCACAAAGTACGCTCAGAACGCTGCGGCGGGAATGGCAGGCCACAAGAAGACGCACGCCAAGAGCGTGAACCCAGATGGCACACCAAACGCAAACTACAAACCCGGACTGCTGAACAAGAGCTTGATCGCCTTCTCCACAGTCGCAGACGGCATCTCGCACTCTGGCAAGCAGCTCTTGACAAGCAGTGGTGCAGCCGCCTCTGCAGCTGTCGGTCACAAATACGGCGCCGAAGCAGGACAAATCACGACCAACCTCGCTGGCGGCGTCAAGAACGTCGGCCTGGTGTACATTGATGTAACTGGCGTGAGCAGGAAAGCCATTATCAAGTCTGTAGCCAAGGGCATGGTTGTCGGTAAAGTCAAGGACAAGAAGGGTAATGAGCAGACTGTGCTTGTTGGTGGAGGCGATGGCGGCACTGTCACGCCAGGCGACTTGAACATGGGCGTATCGAACAATAATGCTCCTCCCAACCAGACTGGTAGCGCAGCGCCTGGTGGTCAGGTGAGCTTTGGGGGCCCGCCGCCTAGCTATCGGACGGGTGTTGGTGAGAGTCTCGAGGGACAGCCGGCATACTATCCGCAAGAGAAGAGGTAGGGTTTGAAATCATGGCTTTATGATGGTATGAGGTATGAGATCATGACACGGGGCGACTGACATCGCGCGTGTAGAGCATGCAGTGGTACTTTTCTTTCCTAGTCTGTCGTGCGCTGTCGACTGTTTCTAGCGATGTACACTTCCAATGACGATTGTTTGCAAAACCATGACATTCTCTCCCGCTTCTTCTCCTCCATTTCGACTAACTCTCTCACGACTCGCTCCATTGCTGTCCCGCGCCGAGAAACCCTCCGAGCTCTCCAGTCGAAATTGCATTGCTACACCAGCGGCAACCTCGGCTGAACAATAACGCGAACGAACCGTCGGCCGTCAAAGACTAATAACTAATATCAATTCAAAGACGGGAAGTAGCTTCAACGCCTCAAGCTACCAAGACTGCAATCTCGTTCTCAACAGCGTCAAAGCGCCCTTTTTACGAAGTCAACTCTGACTCCTCCTGGACGCCCGCGGGAAGCATGTGTTCCGGCGTTTCCCGGTAAAACCCAGGCACGGAAGGGCGATGAAAGGGTCAAGCAGTTTTGGGAAAGGAGAAAGCATGGGGAAAGAGCGTGTAAGCAAGTATATGGTCTCCAATTGAGCAAAGTAGTCCAGGTCTGGTAAAGCTCCTGCCCCCTCCCCCTTCTCTTCGAGAAGAGAAGAAAAAAAAAAGGGTGGACATGGGCGGGCATGACTGTGACGAAGGGGGCCGGGGCGAGTGCTGTACTGTTGTCTATAGTAAGGGAGGGTATTGGTAAGTGGGGAGGAGGCGCGCTGTTAAGGCCTGGGGATAGCGAATATAAGCGGATGATCCCGTCGGATGCTGTATATGATCGTTTGGACTATTGATTCTGGGAGTTACCATGTGTCAAATGTGGGCTGTTGTTGCTATATGGCGTGTAGAAAGTTGTATATGTGATCGGAAGATGCCGAAGTGATGGGTTGGAGGGTATACTATAGGCAGATATGGTGCAGATATTGTGACAGATGGGGGCGTGGCGATCATAACGCATCATATCAGTTATTTTCCGGTGGTCTATCGCCTTCTGATCATCGTGAACAGAGGCTGTCGTGTCGATGGTTGGTGGGCGGTGCTCACGACGCTGCACATCACTTATATTCCGGTGGATTATGATGTGATGGCAGCTGGTATGATACACATATTACTTGACGGGTTGATATCAGACTTTCGAACATGGTAGGTGGCTGTAGGCGTCTGAGTCGTATTGCTCGCCGTCCACTCCTCTAGGGGGTAACGACGAGTATCATGATCTACCGCATTCACTGAGTCGCCAGTCTGCACAGGAAACTCACCGCTGTCTATATGACACGCTATGTATGCTATATGATGTTTGGCTGCCGAAGAGATGCGACTCATACGTGCCTGTCAACACCTGCAGTGTCATGTTTCAAATTATATAGAGTCCGTGCTCCCCTCGACTAGCTTACCTTGACTCAACTCCTCTTAAACATACTCACTGACATGCATATTGCCCAGGCAGGTTTGTAGGGGTAATTTGGGGCGTTCGAGATGCTAATTCTCCGATGCAATGCCGTTGAATGATCTGCGACACATGTATTCTAGGTCGTGTGGGCAAAGTAACGGCAATGCGCGTGGTCTTGGCGACGGTTCGGGGCTGTAGGCGTATGTGGGTTAGGATGGACATGAGAGTGGGATGGTTGACCGATCGTGGAAATTGCAAAGGTTGGGGTGACGTAGGCTATGTTGTGACTGTTTTGTTTTCTCTGGACTGCTTCCTTTTTCATGAGTGTGTACTGGTGGTTGCGTATGGCGTACGTGGCGGGTGGGGGAAGACGGAACGGTGGGTGTGAGTGTGTCGAAATTGTTGTTTCATGGTGGCGGACGGTACAGGCCAGGTAGGTAGCCTAAACATGAGGGAAGAAAGAAGTATAGAGCTGGAAGGCGGCCGGTAGGCACAACATTGTTTTTCTTTCCTCTTTGTATGAAGGTGTACGACACAATATTAGTTTTCTCGTATCCCGTATCCGCCATCCTGGATCCTGCTGTGACTTGAACGTTGCTCGTGGAGGCTGCCTTCCCTTGCAGACCGATAAACAGCAGCCGCGGCTACCCACTTTACTGTACTGCCTACATCAGGAACACCGATATGTACCAAACGTATGCACAATGGATAGAGCTACTGAGAAAAGCATACAGAAGCACAATCGCAGTTTCCACCCGGCCCTACATCCGACGTTTATCGCCCACGCGACATCACCCGTAGTCGCTGTCGTCGTCATCGTCATACACACTACGTAGCACATGACCCTCTAACCGCCTTCGCTACACCTGCATACCAGCCTCATTTTTCCACCGCTGATCGTGCATATCGCCGCACCGCGCATGCGACATTCGTCACACGTACATATGCTGCCCTGCCCAACGAGTGCAGTCCACGATCGAACAGTCGAGTAAGCATCGTACGTGTAAGTGAAGTTCGACAAGCGCTGTATGCGATGATTCTGTTCGCGGATATCATCGCGTGATGCTGAGGGTTGCATATGATGATAGATAAATGAGCACGTGGAGGGTAATTGGTGGTCGAACAACGCCGGCCATTTGGCCGAAAGGGTCTCTGTGGAGATGCTTCTCCACGGCGGGCTGCGATGCGATGCCTCGATCGTTGTAGATAACTGGGGAAACCGCGGTCGAGTGGAGCAAAAGCGAGCTACTCATCCAGCAAGCCAGCAAGCAAGTCATCCCGCTGCCCAACGGACGGCAGCGAAAACAAACGGGTTCAGGTTTCTTATTTCAGCTCCGTGTGTGAGGCGTGTGGGCACGAGGCGACAGGGCGCGCCGTTGTTCGGGAAGTGTACGTCAGTTTGTATATAAGAGAAGCAAACATCGTGGTGTTTCCTTTTCCTCACTCCGTATCAAGTTACCTCGAAGAAACAAGAATACCTACTTTCTACCAATCGCAACACTTCTTCCACATCCACACATTCCTCTTCGAGACAAAGATCCACTTCAAATCACAGTCATGATCTTTGAAGCCCTCAGTATACTCGTCATCGGCGGCTTGAAGCTCACAGCTGTTGGTCTGGCGTTCAAATGGATGGCTCGGTACTAGGGCGCACACGTCTTTACACTCTCTTCTGCCGAACAAACATGGAGGCGGGAAGTGAAGCGAGTAGTTTTGGCCGCTACAGGGAACCAGTTCCCGCGGCCAGTCAGAAGGACAGGAGTTGCTTGGTGTGATTGCCCCGCTGTATGGTGTGAGGCGGGGTAGTTCGATAGACCACAAGGCAGGAGAGCGACAACGGAACAGGGCCGCGATTTACATCCCACAGACAACAACAACATCATCAGCAACGTTGCGCTTTATCAGAGGCACGCATCACGTATCGGCGGCACGCATCACCGCTTCGACTGGCCTCTCAACATACACCGCAAGCATGGCAGATGTCCCACAGACCTTCACGACCCTACCCATACTCCCGCTCAGTGCAGCCCTGGACCCCGCTACGAAACCTCAGTTTCTGGAAGACTTGCGCTCCGCTTTGTTGAACGTGGGATTCTTGTACCTAAGCGAAACGGGTCTGCCCGGGCAGTTGATTCAAGATGTGATCAAGGAGTGCGGGCGATTCTTCGAGGAATTGCCGACACAAGAGAAGGAGAGGATAGAAATGAAGAACGAGAAGAGTTTCTTGGGCTGGAGTAGGGTGAGTTTGTGATTCATTCGAGTCTGTTCATGTTTCAAGTCCTGGGCGGTGGATGTGCAGAAGAAGGCCGTAATGTGCAGATATGACGATGGTCTTATTAGAAGCTATCGCTATGCTACGCTATGCATGGTATAAAAGGAAATCGATCTATGAAACTATGATACAAGAACGGAAGAAGCAGGAAAGCGACAAACAAGAACCGGCCGTAATTCCGTAACGCGTATGCACAATAAACCTCCAATGCCCTCAAAGTAACGCCAGTTGCAAAAGATCAAAATCACCCGGGTATATCCCAAATACACGACGCCAACAATATGTACTCGAAGGCCGTAAACTTGCGCTCGCTCTCCCCTGCCATTACCTGTCCTTCTCTTCCTCTTGCTCAAACAAAAACTTTTCTTTTTTGTTCCGACTCGTCGTAATGCATGCTGACAACATTCGTTCGTAGCTCGACAACGAGACCACGGCATTCAATCCAGACCACAGAGAACAGCTCGATCTTTCGACTCCACATCCCATACCAGGATCCGACGCCCCACTGTACCACAATCTTCTCGCACCAAACCAATGGCCTTCGCCAGAGTATCTACCGTCTTTTCGACCAGTGTATGAGGACTACATACGCCGCATGTCGCACATTTCCACGCTCTTCACATCGTTGATAGCGGAAGCTATTGGACTTCCCTCTACTGCATTTGAGAAATTCTTCGATCGCGACCAGCAGCACAAGCTGAAGATAGTCAAGTACCCGGAGGTCGATGTACCAGATCTGCCAGCTGAAGCGAGCGAGATGGATCGCAAGAAGTGGGAGATCAAGCGCCAGGGCGTAGGTCCGCATAAAGATAGTATGCTGACGAGCTACTTATTGCAAGCTTCCAATCAACTTGGTCTGCAAGCGCAAAACGCAAAGGGTGAATGGATAGACTGCAAACCGATACCTGGCACTCTTGTCGTGGCAATCGGCCAAGGTATGGAGGCTCTGACGGATGGTGTCTGCGCATCAACCACGCATCGTGTCCTCAGTCCACGCAAAGGCGAAGGCGCGCGCTACTCCGTGCCCTTCTTCCAAGGCGTGAGCTACGACGCCCAATTCGAAGCAATGGACGTCCCTGAAGAAGTACTAAAGCTCAGGGACCAGGCGAGGAAGCAGCGCAAAGACGACGTCGAGTTTACGTTTGTCAAAGGCAGATGGGGACATCTCGGCGAGGCAACGCTGATGAACAGGATCAAGAGTCATCCTGACGTTGGCGAACGATGGTATCCCAGAGAGCTACAGCTGATACGCGCGCAACAGGCAGCCGCAGCAAAAGCATCATCATGAAGAGCGATCGCGACTAGGAGGGGCCTGTAGTCGTAGTGTACATGAACCATTGATGTCTTGTCAAGTCTTGTCCAGCGACCCCGGGTCAGTGTGTACCATCCGTTCCGTAAGCGTTCATGCGGTGTGACAAACATGCACACAAACCACCGTGATCAAGGATCAAGGTACAATGCGGTGAGCAGAAGTCCACTTCGTATGGTTGCGTATCGGCAACGCTTCCCTATGCAGACGCAAGCGAGCGCAGGCGCCGTACTGCGAGAAGCTGCAGTTGCGATTGGGCGCAAGTGCGCCCGAACGCATGTGTCCCATGTGTTCGGATCCGCGGGACGCCACGCAAAGACTCCACACCTTAAGCTTGGCAACGAAAGGCTCCGCAGGGTGGGCAGAAAAAAGGCACGCCGAAATTCTGCTGGCCACGCTCTTTCGGCGTTACGGCGCTTCTATGCCCATCGGAAGAGCATATCCGACGGAAGGTACAGTAGGGCCGGCGATAATCCACAATAGTAGGAACTTTCACGACGACCCGATGCTGCATGCGTGACCAGACACCGGTGTAGCGCAGTGTAGCTCGTAGATAGCTCGTAAAGTGTATTTGGCATACCATGTTTCAGCTTCGGTGGAGGCTTGATCGCGCGAGGAAATTTTAGCAGACTTTCTGGAAGCTAGCCCCACATACGCCATGCATGTTCCCCTTGCGCAAGTTACCAAAGACAAATACCATGACGGACAGCGGCGGATGTATTCGTGTGTGTGGTGGGATGGGCGAATCGAACGGATGCTCGGATGTCGGGCTATCTCGGTTGCATTGCTGCTTCAGGAACGGGTTTGCAGCGCACCATCGAAGCAGCCCATCGGACTAGCTAAGGGGGAAGCGAAGGAAGCGACTTGGAAGCCCAAAACGCCGCTCACAAATCTCGCGACAAGGCCCCCGGTCAGGCGCGCAGAAAACGGAGGATCCACGGAATGTTCCATTTGCTCATTTCCCAGTCTTCTTTCGCCTTCCACCAAATCCATCATCATCAGATCCACCTCTTCACCGTCCATCGTGGTGCTAGTTCTCCCGAGGGAAAACACACTAAGATGTAGCGTCCCAAGGCGGGTCTGTCTGCAAAGACGGGCGACTGCAATCTTGATGTGATTCCACATACCGCGTGTGGGGCTTTCCGTGCTGATGTTTCATCGTGCTTCATGCGATCGTGGGGGCACTGTGTGTCCATCCAAAAAAAAAATGTGACGCGAAATTGTCCGACGCTGGGGCGTTTTTGGAAACGGGTGACCAACGATGCGGTGAACGTATGGACACGGCTGGTAATGCAATTGTTGCTAGCGTGCATACCCAAAGGGATCAAGGCATGGTCGTCCCTATCAATTCCCGCGAGATCGCGTCTTGCCGTCATCGACAGAATCGAGCAGCGGCGCGAGATACCACATTCGGAAGGGCCCTTGCGGAACAATTGTGTTATATCGCCGAAGAATACAGCCTATCGAGACCGTGCCGCGCAGTGCCGCGTGTCGCTGGCAATTATGTCCCGTCTCGAGGAAGATTGCAGACTGGACGATGGGCTTGTTCTAGGGTGCTTCGCGCGTCTAGTAGATTGCTGGAAATGGTCGTTCTGGTAATTCGAAGGATCGTCTCCCTGGTACCCCTGCCAACGGTCTGCAGCCACGAAGGATTTGCGAACATGTTTGGGACGAGTCGTGCTCATCCTCAATGCTCAACCTTCATGTTGGACTGATACGGCTGGTAGATGATGTGCTGGCCTTGCTCGTTCATCATCTGAGGCTGGCCGTGCTGGGCATGCATCATGGGCATCTCGCTACCGTGACTCACTTGAGGTGGGTAGCCTTGCTGAGGACCAACTGGGTAGGAGCCGTAGGGTGCAGACGTGTGATGCTGCTGGTGCTGAGGCGGACCCTGGCCTTGAACGGGCTGGTGATGCATAGGAACGCTCATGTGCCGTTGGTATTCCGAGGCATGAGGCGAAGGATGCGAAGTGGGCGTTCCGTATCCGGACATTGGCATAGGCTGTGAGGTGACCATGGAAGCATTCTCAAGCGGGTAAGACATGGCTCGCGCGTTGCTCTCCATGACATATGGACTGGGGTATGACATGTTTGATTGCTCGACCGCATGGACTGACGCATCCTGCACTGGCATGGAAACTTGATGGTGCTGCTGCTGTTGCTGCGGGTGGCCAGCATGAGGACTCCAGCGAACTCCTTCGTGCTGTGGCGCTTGAACTTCACCCATGGCAGGTGGCGTATCAACATGGGGCGAGGAGACGTGATGGGCGTACGTATGCTGCGACTGCCAATGTCCAGGTTGCGACACAGGCGTTGCTATTTCGGGCACTGAATGTGCGCTTCTCGCAGTTCCAGTAGACATTCTCCGAGGTTGGCTAAGCATATGAACCCGGTCACTCGGTGACGGTGCGCCTGCTGTAGTGATGTCAGCCTCAATGCATTGATATCACGTCAACTGCAGAAGAAAGTCGCCGTTCTCGTCTCGCTTGGGCTGTAAAAGGAAACCAACGTTACAGATACTGCACGTCGCTCAATCGAGCCGCAGACTCGGAAAGCGGGAGACAAGGCAAAAGAAAGATGTGACTTATTGCGAAAAGAGGGTCGGCTGCACCAAAACGGTCGCGGCCCGAGACACCAAAAAGCAACAACAACGCCCAGCGAGCTTGTGAGTCGAACAATTGGACAGTGCTTTTGCAGGAATGAAATCAATATTACATACCTGCTCCTGATTCTGGGACTCCCAGTGCCGACACGGCATGTGATAGACGAGCGCGGAGGACAGAGTTCTCTTGCTCGAGCTCCTCGTTTCTTCTGATGAGGTCCATCATCTTGGTCGACGAATTGTTTTCCAATTGCGCAGTGAGATCACGAACTTGGCGCTCAAGTGTGTCGATGTGATCCTTCGTTCTTTGACGAATCGCTCGCTGTGCTTCTCGGTCATTGGCTCTCTTTCGCTCCAGTTGAGCGGCGGTGAGAGTAGTGACGCTGCGGGTACCAGCTCTCGATGGTCGCTTCTTCGCACCAGGAGTGAGCTGTCTTGCTTCTGAGCCAGAAGAATGGCCCTCGTAAGGCGGCGACCTCTTCTGCTGATCCATGTGAGGCGAGTGGTAGCTGGAGGTACTCATGAAGTCACTCCTGTAGGCGATAGGGTCTCGGTAGTGGAGAATTGAAGTCATCGAGGATCCGCGAGAGGCGGTGAGAGTATATGCGATGTCGACGTTGCTATGTCAGCGTGGCCCAAACGAATGCGGTCCAAGCGTTTGGCAATATCAAGTACTGTCTCTGCGGGCGAAGGGTGCTCCCGAGGGGAAAATGACGAGGGGTTGAGGATGGCTGTGTGCCGTGTTCCAGATACTGAGGAAGGAATGATGTCAGTGGAAGACAAATATTATAAACGAAGTCAGGGACAGCAAGACTAAGAGGGCGAAGCAAAACTGGTAGAGAGACAGAATTAATGGTAGCAAGACATGGCTGGCATGAGCCTATAACCTGCTATCAGGTCTGATGGATAGCGTCTTTCGGGCCCCATGCTCGGCCCTAGACTAGTGTTGGCATCCTAATCCTGACCCCTGGTGGGTAGCCACACAACGTGGGTTCTGGGGAAATCGTTTCACTTTAGCTTCTACATTAGCACGAGGCTTGGATGCAGTGCAGCGTAGCCCACACACTCGTATCAGCTTAGGCTTGTAAAGACCCTTCACGCCATATAGACTCCCAACGGTGGTGGCAGGAGGGCTAGCAGAACCACGCCCTGCATCTGGATGCGCGTCGTGGCTCTTCTGGAAGGGCACTACAGGCTCTAGCTTGGGATATTGCACCCCACTCTAGGTGGCATGGCCGACTTCCTGCGCAACACCCTTCGGCCCACCTTACGTCGAGAGAGCGCGCAGAAAAGCGCCCGTGGCTCCACCGCGAAGGGTCTCCAGAAGCGCATAATAATGGGCAGACATGGTCCTGATGTCGCCATGGCCGCTTGCCAGTCAGGTAGCTGGTCGTGTTTGCGGACCGTAGCGAAGTTTGGATGACAGGCAAGCAGACACGGACAAAATGTGACGTTTGAGGAGCGTATGGCGTGGGCTCATGCAGCCAGAGTACGTGAAGCGATGCCAGGATCCAGGGGTGACACCGGCCAGGCAAAGGAGCGAGGGGACGAGCAGGCCCCGGCAGCGCTAAAAGGGTCAGCACGTGGAAGCCCTGCATGATGAAAATTAGCCCGAGAATGCCAAGGGCTAGGATGGGCCTGTCCTTGGCCGCTTCAGTCGGAGGGCCGGTCGACCGTGTGTTTACTCTACCAGGGCATCGAGCGTCGAGTGTCGAGCCAGTGGACAATTGCGAGACGCTCGAGGGTCCGCTGTGGATCTTGACGTGTATTGAGTCCCAGGGGTGCAGCCTCGACAACCACGTCGATCATGTCGGGATCAAGGGACTTCCCATCCTCCGCAGAGAACGAGCGCTGGTGAAAGGATAGTTCCGAGGTAACTCCACGGACCATGTTTACACACAGGTGACATATCGAGATAGAGCAACGTTGCCGACCTGTATCTACGTGCTGTACATGTTCGGCGGAGACAAACTCTATCGTGGCCTCATGGCTATCGATGTGTTTCATGCCGTGTGCTGGCTATGCATACATGGTACGTCTATATTCGGCGCCCTGCAGACTAAGCGCATGGCCGGCACGTGGAAAGATATGGTGAAGGCTCCGTCATTCGCTTGGATTGCATTGCCGACAGTCGGACTTGCAGAAATGAGCTGAGGAGCATTGGCCAGAGAGAGTCCGTGATGCGCTCCTGCTGCCCGCCGCATGGGAGAGAAGCTGTAAAAGGTTGTGGCTGATGCTCGTGCACCTTGCATCTCACGACCCGATGTCCGATTACGGCCAGTCTCAGCTGCGCGAGCAACAGAATCGAGCCGACCGTGTTGATGCATTCATACCTCGTGACGAAGCTTAGATGCTGATGAGCAGTAAAAGTGCCCTGGGGGCAGAGTGATCTGCTGCGCTATGCATCACATCCCCCAATAATCGATAAAGCAAGAATCCTCCGAGCAACCTCACCGCTCCATAGACGCAGGCGTACACGGCGAGGCTACAGCCGCTAGGCCCGGAGCGGAACTGCTAGTGCTCGTACCTTGGAGAGCCTGCCAGCCACGAAGGATACGCTTGGCGCCGATATTGGACGATAGCGAATTTCGGCAAGTGTTTTGAAGATGAGAATGATGCACGTCGGCAGCACTAGGCTAAGGTGCCGCCAGCCGCGAGCCGCGATGAGAGAATGGACCGGAGCGCGCGATCCTGCCCAGTGCCTTACCTCTCGATGGAGATTCTCGGTAGAAAAAAAATGTTGCAGATTGGTAGATGCATGTTCACGGCCAGAGTCGTGGTGGTTTGGAGGGGCGCGGGTGGAGAGGCACGAAGGATCAGATTACGCCGCACCACTTGCAACGTCCGTCTGGTTGAGGTTAGCAGCGACGTTATTTGACGTCTAGCAGGATGATGTGCGTATACCTGAGACAGCGACAACTAGATGGCGTCCGAAAGCGTGCATTCATTTCCAACAAACTCCATCTGCGGCCTCAGGTTTCGGTGAAGAGTCGAGGGCCATGGTACGCGTACGGGAAGTCACGAGGTTAGCCTCATTTCTCTCTTCGTCAATGCTGTCGCACGCCTCTCGCTTCTCCCTTGCACACAACCCAAGGCTATCTAGCGTCAATACTCTCACCGTCCATGCAAACTTCTAGCGTCGCCGCCGTCACTTCTCTACACAGTTAGGTAGTGGCTGAAATGGTACCACTCGATCCCTTTGCAATGGACGCGATTGGGGAAGCTCTTCCGATGCAAGCTGTCAAAATCCCTCCCAACAGGAACAGCACAGTGCCGCAGACATCCTGCCGAATCACCATCGTCATGACAGATGCGAAAATCTGAAACCAGCCGTTACTACTACAATGTGTATGGGTGAGCCTAACATGAGGTTTCCCCACACGTAGCTGCCCGAACGTTGATCTTCGCCGCATTCATTGGCATGCAGTATCAGGTATGCAGCTCGCGTCCAAGTATCTTCGATCTCGACTCTTCAGCGTTCCATGTAGCGGTGAAATCCATAATGCTCCTTACTCCGATTCCGTTTAGCCCCGTAGTCGTCTCCCTCGGGCCCGGCGTAACGCAATGGCATGCATCCGTGCAGTATGGCCCGGAGCGGCAGATCGGTTTCTGCAGTGTAACTACCTCGTCTGTCAGATCTCAGCTGCCGTGTCACCACCAGGAACCAAACACTGGATTTCGTGGGATCCAGAGCGAGGCACTGGCTCGTTCGCTAGACCTGTCTTACTCGTAAGGTGCCTTGCGGCTGCAAGCAAGCTTAGTTCAACCATTCCCAAGGGCCCTTCACCCAGGCCTAAATCCAGGACACCTTGTCCTCGATGCGGGCCCGTTCACGATTGCGCAAGCCGACCTGCGTCGGCCGGATCAAATGGTGTCTGAAACATCTGCATTATCCATCACTCAGGTGCCGGTTCCAAAGCAAGGCCAGCCGACAAACTGTCACAGACGGACGGTTCGTCATGACTCCATACTTCGCTACCAAACTTAGGATAACTCCTTCCGTCTGTTTCTGACAATCAGCCGACATTCACCCACCGACCTGCATCCTGATTGACCGCTCCTAAACTCGAACTCTATCAGTCCAAACTCCACAAGACCATGCAGTCCGCTAGCGGCCACGAACCTTTTGGTGATAACACAACCCCTATCCTGAAACATGCTTGGTGAAAATTAGAGTTTACGGGTCTACCCCAACAAGGATGCCCCACTTGCTCTAACCACACCATTCTGATCTCTCCTAGCCTCGCTAACGCTATTACTTCGCGCCCTCCCTCACCGATCACGCTTCACGATTCGCGCCAAGCGAGCCTGTTGCGCCATCAAGAGTCTCCGAAGCTTCTAGCTTTGAGGCTAGAAGTAGAAGATGGCGATGGCGTAACCCTTCGCTATCGAAGGGATTGGTGGGTCCTTGCAATTACAGTTTTCTTTCGCACTCGTTTCTTAGCAAACGCGAGTGCGATTGTGACGTCGCTGGGCCCCAAGTGGCTTATCCATTGCTCTTGGACTGTTTGACCTGCAGGCTGCATGAAAAGGACGCAATTGTGGGGTGCATTGCTGAGGCTGAAAGTGGCTTACTTCTGACGTTGGTGGTCGAATTGGTGTAGACAACAGGCGAGGAGGGAAGCGCGCCTATTCGATCATCACGATGTCTCCAGCTCTGCATGCTTCATCCATGCCCAACCATGACACCATTGTGACTGCTCAACCAAACTTTGTGCACGCTACTTTCGGGCACCACGGTACCAGAGATCTTAGCATGTAGATTGAGAGTTCATTCAAAACGTCGGAATCAATATCGCGAGGCTAACACGGGAAATACACAACCATCATCCCAGTGGTCGTCACTACCCAGAGCCTAAGATGGCGCAATGCTCCGGATCTAAGATAGCATCTTTAAGTCTCCGAGATCCATCTAGAGAAAAGAGAGAGTCGCACAGCTTGCCGCAGATGGTAATTTGCAAGGACAACCCATCAGAGCGATGCATGCCACATTGTCCCGCATACGTCTACGTGCCACATTGTCCCACATCCGCCGTCTGCATGCCACATATATGACGCTAGAAGAACCCTAGAAAGGCCCTGTCTGTAAATTCTAGCCCACATCGACGTTGATTCGATGGCGTGCATACCCGACCTATACCCTCGCACGCCACACCGTGGTTCACCGGAACCTACTCCGTTCTAATGTACTTGTCAAAGATTTTCGAGATTTCGCGCGCGCTCTTCTTAGGGTATCGCTTCTGTCCACCCTTGTAGTCGACGTAGGTAACGCCGAAACGTGTCGTGTAGCCCTCGGCCCACTCGAAGTTGCTGCAGGTACACTATGTCAGCGTGTGTCATGACGCCTTCTACCACAGCGTTCCGCGGGAAGACCAAGGAATCAGTGTTTGAAGCTAGGAGAGAAAGATGATCTACCCGAGTACGAACACGCAACACCACAATGCGGACAATCAAGTCTCCACCACTCGTTGGAAAAAGGAATTTCCATATGACAAGTGGGGAGAAAGGGTGTAGGAAACGTTAAAACTTGGAAGAATATGGGATGAACGTACTCCATGAGACTCCATGCGGAATAACCCCTGACATCGACTCCGTCCAATGTGTGAGCGTCGGCCAAGGCTCCAATATATCCCCTGAAGTATTCGCAACGGAACTCGTCGTCCAGCAGCTTCTCAAGAGGAAGATCGTTCTCTCCCTTGAGACTGGTGCCATTTTCAGTCACATAGAAGGTCGGGCCGCCATACCTATCACTAAGCCACTTGATGAGTTTTCTGAAGCCCAAAGGCATCGGCCTGAGCCAGACTGATTGTGTCTCTGGGCCGATCCATTCGCCCTTCTTGTTCTGGTAAAGAATGTCCAGGTTGCCAACATGATCTTCAGGTTCTGGCTCAGTCTCCTTGTGTCTAATGTAATTGGCGCAGTAGTGGTTCATGCCATAAAAGTCATTGCTTCCCTTGACAAGAGCCGCTTCTTCCGGTGTGAATTCAGGCAAGCGATCACCAAGTTGCTTGCGCATCGAGTCGGGGTATTTGCCAAAGTACACTGGGTCGCCAAACCAGCAGATTGCAAACTCGATCTTTCGGTCGCAGGCTTCGCGGTCCTTCGGATCTTCTGGATCCCACGGCTCCGTCCAGTCGCCTACACGACATATCAGTACACGTTTTTCATGCTCAGACGTCAGACCGATTGTTGCTATCCTCGCACGGGCTCGATATTGCGTGGGGTCGGTCCACTGTCATACGGTATACGCGAGCCACGTGCTGGTCACTTACCATTGAGCGTAATCCCAATCTGGCCTCCATCCTTGGACTTGAAGTCATCACGGTAGGCCTTGACTGCCGCACCATGAGCAATGAGGAGCGAGTGGCCGACGATCCACGGCTCCCTTGAAGAGTCACCCTCTGCGCTCTTGCTCCGATCACTACAACGGCCGGGAGCAAAAAGGCCGGTACCATATCCGAGAATGGAACTGCACCATGGCTCGTTGAAGGTGATCCAATATTTTACCTTCGAACCGAATGCTTTGAAACACACCCTGGCGTAGTTCTCGTAATCCTTCACGAACTCGTCCTTGTTCAGCATGCCCCCATATCGCTTGTGCAGGTTGTCTGGGAGATCCCAATGAAACAGCGTTATCATCGGTTCGATGCCTGCGGCACGGAGGTCGTCGACCAACTTGATGTAGTACTGTAGACCTTTTTCGTTTACAGGGTCGTTGCGTCCGCCGAGTGGTATGATGCGGGACCACGAGAGAGAAAAGCGGTAAGATTTTGCGCCGATATCCTTCAAGAGAGCAATGTCCTCGTCAGTGCGGTGGTAGGAATCGCACGCAACATCTCCGGATTCTCCGCCTGCAATCTTGCCCGGGATGCGGCAGAAGGTGTCCCAAATAGAATCAGCACGGCCATCTTCATGCGGTGCGCCTTCGATTTGGTAACTGCAGGTTTGGAAACTCAGTATGTGACAACAAAGCGGCCCCCAAAACGATACATCGTGGCGGGGTACTTGGGTACTCTTTAGAGTGGAGAACAGTACTGGGTCAGACGAACCTTGCTGTTGCAAATCCCCACAGGAAATCTTTCGGCAAGTACGACTGCGACATGTTGGTTTTGTAGTCAAGCAGTATGTGTGCTTGAGCTGACAGTTCAGAAAAAGAACAGAAGGCTTCCCGCAGCAACGGGACACCTATACTTCATATACGTGGACACAGTAATGGCTGCGGAGAACGTCCCGCCGTAACCGTCCTCACGCGTCGACAAGACCTTGACAGACGCGCCGTAAGACATATGAGGAACTTGGTAAGGCTCCGTCAAGCTCAAGCGGGCTATAGTCGATTTCTCCGTGTCGTCAATGGCTCCTTCGCCCATTGACCCCGCTCATCGTCACGATCACTTGAGGGTTATAGCTTCATCCCACATGACGAAGCTATACTTTTACGTCGATTCTGCCCGCGAGGGTCTACAATGTCCAGGGCGGTCAGTGGGACCTCGGGCCGCCGATTCAGCCTGCCTATTAACCTGCTAGGCGTGGCGCGGAAGTCATCTTGGGCTGAGGTGATGCCTGGAGGAGTGGGATGGCGGGGTACTGGGCAAGTTGAAGCGGCCGTTTTCCTTCCGACCACTGCCAGCTAACATGTTGCGCCGAAGAGTGTGTTCCTCGTCTTCTTATTCGTGAGCCTAGGAGCTGATGATGATCCAAGATGGAGATGTCGGAAACGATGCTCTACACGTAGTGGTAGTTACGACACAGGTGGGTTGCAAGAGCTCATAAAAAGCGCTATGCCTCATTGAGAAGAGCTTCCGAAGGTACAGTATCTTCTCCCTCAAGCTTCAGCTTCAAGACTGTATCGGAACCACAGTGAAGTCTGGTGCAACCTCGGCGCAAGCATCAGTATATAATGGGCGGCTGCTGGGGATGAATAGGACTATGATACAGCCTTAAGACAGTCGAATAGCCTCCAAACGAACGCCCGCGACGATGCTCTCCGCGCTCCGAACCATTCGATCTCCGACGAGACGCGCCACAACGCAACTGCGCACCGCTGCGACACAGGCTCAGAAGCGTGCAGGCGATATATCTGACGCTTTCGCATCGCTCTCGGGACAGGAGTTCACGCCTCTGACGTCCGAATATGCCGACCTCAAAAGCCGTCTGATCCGGGGACATGAGAGCGAAATACGAGAATCTTGGGAACGCCTCCTTCGGACACTTCGCGACGAGATTCCGCTCATTGTCGAGCAAGGCAGCAAAGTCATCCCAGAGATTGACTTCAAGGACATCGATAATGCACCGGAGTCCTTTAACAGCGAGCTGCGTAAGAGAGGTGTTGCAGTTGTAAGGAATGTAATACCCGAGCAGGAAGCGCTGCAGTGGAAGGAAGACTTGAGAGAGTATATTCGCCAGAATCCTCAGACAAAGGGTGAGTATATGTGTGTGTGCATCTCGGTGGGATGAATGCGACTGACCATGTTGTAGCTTTCCCTGCCGATAACCCTCAAGTCTTTGAATTATATTGGTCGCGTACCCAACTCCTCGCTCGCGGCAATCCAAACCTCCTCAAGACGCAAGCCTTCCTCATGTCATACTGGCACAGCCTCAACCCACACATCCCACTCTCCACAAAACACCCGATAAGCTACGCAGATCGCTTGCGCATGCGTCTACCCGGTGACGCCAAATTTGCACTGGGACCACACGTCGACGGCGGCAGTGTAGAACGCTGGTCCGAGGAAGGCTACGGGCTCGGGAAAGTCTACGACTCGGTCTGGAAAGGACGCTGGGAAGACTTTGACCCCTGGGAAGCCAGCTGTCGTCTTTCTGTCAACTCAGACCTCCACCAAGGCGTAGGAGCATGCAGCGCATTCCGCATGTTCCAAGGCTGGCTGTCGCTCTCAACAACTGGACCCTTTGAAGGCACACTGCTGGTCAACCCGTTGTTGGCAAAAGCCACCGCATACTACCTCCTCCGACCCTTCTTCTCTCCCAAACGAGGCGTAGACCCCGGTGCGCAAACGACTTCTGAGGCCCTCACCAACTCAGCGGACTTCCTCGCGTCGGATAACTGGGAGATGGATACAACACAGAACGCATGGGTACATGGTGCGACGCCAGGTCGTGGTCAGGAGCTATCCCACCTCCTGCATCCGCATCTCAACCTGCAGAAGTCGATGATCCATATGCCGACAGTCAGACCTGGCGACTACGTCTCCTGGCATTGCGACACCATCCACAGTGTAGACAAGACGCATGCAGGCAAGTCCGACTCGAGCGTTTTGTACATCCCAGCTTGTCCGATGACGGAGGATAACGCCAACTACCTTGTCCGGCAGCGCCAGAACTTCGTCAATGGAACCCCAAGCCCGGACTTTGGCGGTGGTATCGGTGAGAGCGAGCATGTTGGACGTATCAAGGCTGAGGATATGCATGCTTTGGTTGGTGATGAGGGCTGTCGGGCCATGGGGTTGCAAGAGTGGGATAGCGATGCTGCGGGCTTGGGTCCTGGTGAGAGAGTCATTCTGGATCGGGCGAACAAGATTCTGGGATTTTACGATTAGCTGTAATGAATGTTGAATGATCACTATAGGTTTGATTCGAGAATTCATCCATCGTTACGATATTTCTATCTTACTCCAGTATCGCTAGGAGAGCCATTATATACAAAAGGCGAGCGTCGTAATATCAGCTTCGGACCTCTTCCGACAAGTATTCTTGCTCTCCGATGTCATCTCCGACGACGATCCTATCGTCAACTCCGATGGTTTTGGTGTCCTTCCAGACATTTGGATTGATGGTCACGGAAAGCTCCTTAACTCATCTTGCTCAGCTTCGTCGACAGTGAGAATTAGCAGCACTGAGAACCGGCATGCAGGGCTCAAAGCATGCGAAATCGAGTTTAGGGGCTATTGCTTTGCCGGAAAGTTTTGTTCCAGTGAGCTTATGGTCGCTCGGAATAGAGGGCTGGAACTGGACCCTGTGTTCAAGTTGTGGGCAGTGTTACGAGACTGTTACTGGCGTGATAGTGCAAGACGTCGTTCCTAGGGTCAACTCGAAATGTATATCATGTAAATGCTTAGACCTCAACTACGGTCAACGAGATGCGAAGGCAAGTAATCACACCCATCGTTCAGAAACTCGTTCCTCGGGGTCAGCTGGCAATTTCTTTTGAGCGTGATTAGACCATAAGAGAGCGAATCGGGTGATCTAGGAGTTGAAAGACATAGTGTGGAAGGAAGGAAGGAAGGAAGTAAGGAGGCAGAGAATGTTGTAGCAGGCTCACATCGTAAGCTGTGATCATTAGTAGATGTGGCAGCTAAGTATAGACATTTTTTATAGATCGAGACACTAAAGTTACTACAAATGCAGTTCGTGATGCTCGCTATTACATATACGACTAATCTCTATTAATCACTGCATATCATTCTCCGACAAAATGAAGAGAGTGCGCTTTTCTACCCGAAGTCATGCGCATTAAGCAGAGATGAAAATTTCGCCTTCCTCGCTCTCACCTTCCTCGTTCTTACCTTCCGTACGAATGATATCCCGGCCTTGGCGCGCACACTAACAACAACCAGTTTTCTTCCCTTTGCTTTCACTCTTCGCTATCAACAAACACCTCACGCTCATCTATGTAATAGACTCTGATCGCGTCGTGTGCTACTCGAGTAGTCGCCAAACCAGTGAGTCCTCGTCGCTCGCTGCGATCACCCACTCTTTATCGACACTCACTGACCACAGCAACTCTAGTCCTGTCGCCACGATGCAGATCCCAAAGCAAGTCTCCAGTCCGGCAGACCCAAAAGAGCCTTCATTCCTCAACCTTCCGGCCGAGATTCGTAACCGAATTTATGAGTTCTTGTTCACGCGCGATGAGCCTGTCTTGCTCCACAACGCCAAAGCATATCACCCTATTCCACCGCAGGATTCCCATGAGCCCTATGGGGGCGAACTGATAGCGGCTTTTGACGACGAATACGAGAACGAAATTGATCAAGGTCAACTCTTCGTCCATGATTTTCAGACAGTCACTCCCGCTCTCCTCGTATGTCGACAGGTATACGCTGAAGCAGTCGGATACCTGTACAGCAATAACACTTTCATGTTCTCACGCCCGCTCTATCGCCATGATGGTCGGAACGGTGATGAATGTGTGGAACACGACGATGAATCGTACTTCGTAACGAATTACGTAACTCAGTGGCTACAGAATCTGGGCTCTCAACGCAAACTTCTAAACGAGGTTCGCATAGACGTTGGTGCTTTCTGTCCAGAGATTTGTACCAAAGGTATGCCATTTGTCTCTATCTTGAAGCTTGTACGGATGTTATGGAGGTATCCCTATCTCGCAAATGTGGTTGCGTTCAGCCAAAGGGGACCTACAGACCGCGAGAAGAACGATTTCGGTACGTTCAAGCATGAAGAAGAAGAACATGACATGGAATACGCCGAGCGTTTACAAGGGATCTTGATCGCAATTGGTATTCAAGACGTCTTGAACTTGAAGCGTTACGCATCTATCGATCTTCTAGTCACCGATATCAACATCGATTCGTCTTTAGACTACGGTTATGTTACTGGACCAAATCTAGAGCTGAGATTTGAGACACCGGAAGATGAAGTTGTGAGATGGCCGGAGAAAAACGAGACCCTCCTCAGCCCTCTCGATGACCTGGATCTGCCCCTCATGCGCAAGATCTTTAACCTGGTCATATTTCCAGCGGATCAGATTATACTCGATCTTGACTTGCGCAAAGTATATGGTTTTGATCCAGTTGTGTTTCAGTTGAACCGCAGGTTCAGGAATGTGCATTATCATCGGACACCAATGGGCATGAGCGTTCTTGTCAGGAAGAGTATCAACACCACGACTTTCGATTTCAGCGGTTTCGCCGACCCCATCTCCTCAGGGCTGATCGACCCAACTGATTACCGGAGTATATTTGCAGTATTCTGGCGTTCAATATTTGACACACGATCTTGTCATCCATTAACGACCATCGTCCTCAACTTCGATATCGCGACTAACACCTCCCTGAAGGAAATCCGTATAAACATCAAGGAGATTGTGCCTCTACTCACTTCTCTCTCTTCTCATGTCAAGACAAAACTTCGATTCGTCCTCAAATGTCCTTGGGGAAACGCTACACACTACGAGGAAGTCACGATTCCGGTGGCAGAGTTGGTACAAAGTCTTTTCCTACTCTTGAGCGATGTCAAGCAGCAATGGCCCTCAGAGATAAGTAAGACCAGATACAAGCAGCTTCCTGATATCTGGCTCAGTGGAAATGGCGTCCTCATCTCTGCATCCTATCCGGCAAACTCACACTCTTCGGAACGCGGTGTTGAGTATACGCATGGCCGATTGACATCTACTGAGATACGTAACCGAGGGTACAGGATGGCAATGACCCAACCTCATGACCTCAGACAGCATGCAGGAGTGTTGGGCGAATGCTGGGAAGAGATACGTCGCCGTCATTATCACGATAGGGATTGGAAGAGAGTATGAAGAACGGTGAAGAATCATTCAAGTCTTACGGTCGATCTCGTGCTGATCAACAAATAGCATACAGAGAAGGTAATCTCGCACAACACACAACAGCGCACTCGATCAATAGACTAGGCATGATGGAGTGGTATGCAGTTTATCAAGGTCGAAAGAACGTCGCAGAACACAGGAGAGAGGCTTGTAACTGCAGCGACATCTCTTTGTGCTTGTTGTTCAACGCGCAGCTGGTGGAGCGATTATGATAATGAGAAAAAAAGCATGAGATGGGAATCGTCGTTTGTGTCTGCAACAGCTTCACTTCTGATCCATTGCGATGGAAGAGTGTTGATGATAAGGCAGGGCAACACAACGCGACCAAAAGAATCTTTGTAATTTGCAGAATCATAATGCTTTCAGTCTTTCTAGCGCACTGTTCCCACTTTGCTGTTGTCCTCTTCCCATGAAAACAAACGGATAATGGTAAACTCTCCGCGAACACCGCAACACTTCGCGAAGACCTAGACCTCAACGGCCGAGGTATGACATCGTATGACATCGTCTCTTCCAACAATGACGAAAAGAAGAAAATAAGCCGTGTAAGAAGTGCCGAAACAAATTGCTTTATCTCGAACGGGGAACGACGCCACGGGTATCGTTGTTGTTTCAGTGACCCCGGGTGATCACTCTGTTTTAGCTTCAAGTGACGAGAATAACAGCAAAAGCATGGGATGAAAGACACTGGAAGTCCAGGAAAAGATAGAGAGAGCATGACGTGGTATTCCCAGGCTAGCGAACGAATATGTGAGATGGTATACTATGAATTCGTATACGAAAGCGACACGCAATGCTAGAACGCTACAGATATCCAAATGACCAAACAGTCAACAGCCAATATATACTTTTGCTTATACACGGCTTCCATTCATTGCAGAAGCAGGCAGCTCACCCCCTCTGATCTCACTCATCGCATACCCAGGCCGCCACGCAGGATGAATCTCACTCAATCCACTACCGATATTCACCGTACTCCTCGGCTGCGCTTCAGTAATGTAGCTTACGCCATCTTCCGAGACGTAGGAAGGTGGGCGGGGGCCTTCTGGCTGCTGTGATGTGGGTGGTGCATTGGTAGACGCAGCGCTTCCACGTAGAGACGCAGCTGCAAGGACGGCAGGACCAGACATGGATCCAGAGCGCGAGCGCATAGCAGTAGACATGGCACTTCCGCGCGCAACATCATCGGCACGCTGCCAATGCAGCAAGTTGGGGTCTACGCGTACGCTGCTGCGCCAGAGCCCGTACGCCGGTGGTGGAGGCGGCGGCATATCCTTCTCATCATCCATCACTGCGTCGTTTGCCAGAGCTGCCTCGCTATCCACACTACCGTCAGCGGCCTCCTCGTCCCGCCTGAGATGCACGCGAATTGGAACGATAGGTTGGAAGCCCTCGCCCCCACTTCCCATCATATCGGGCATGACTCCACGGTGGCTGTCGTGAGGCGAAGGTGGGTTCAGCATGAGCATGCAGAGACGGATGAGGGAGTGGCAGAAGAAGATTGTGATGGTGAGCAGAACCATGATGAAGAGGATGTGAATTTCTTGGCCGAGAGAGCGGTTTGTAAGGGCGATTGCTAGGTCTGCGAATCACGTTGTTAGTGATGGATACGTGAGGAATCGGAGGAACGGATCAAACTTACAGATTGCGAGGATAGTAATTAAAACCGTCCCCGAAATCACACACGCTATCATCTTTCCTCGTGCAGCTGATCCGCGAATATACACAGCGGTGGTGTGTGTGCCCCGCTCTTCTCTTCTGCGTACCCATCCGTTTGATCCATTTGATCCATTTGATCCAGATCGTTCAGTGCGGTGACGATGGTGGTGGTGCTTTCTCCGCTTGTGGTGCTTCCGGCGTTTGTGTCGGCGGCCGTTTATTTCATCGGCGAGTTGCTGAATCTCGGGGTCTGCAAAACCATCTTGCTGATAACTGCTTCCAGGCAATGGGACGTCCGCTGGGTGACGGGCAGAGTAGACAGTGGTTGGTTCCTGGTGGTCTTGCGGTGGTGCGATGGCGCCGATGTAGGACCCTGCGGTATGATGTGCATGGAGAGGAGATCTGGAATCGTGAGATTCACGATGTGTGGTGTCGGCATCGAGGTTAGGCTGTTGCTGGCGGTTCCAGAAGCCTAAGAAGGGTGTTTTAGGTGTGTTGATGTTGGTATTGTTGTTGAGGGCCGGCGACTGCGAGTATATCGACGATCCATTGACAATTCCCCTCACATTATTCCGGAATGCGCTGAACCGCGACGGATTTTGTGTTGCAGGCGTCCTTAAAGAGGCCTCGAGGTCCTGATCCTGATCTGGTCGTGGTGACCAAGCGAAAAGTGGTGACCGAAACATGGTGAGATCCGTATATAGCGCGAGTTGCTTGCTCAAGTCCAGAAATACACACTTACAAGACCCCCAGGTGCTATCTTGGGTGTATGTGTATTCCTTATAGTGGGCGCGTCCTCGGTGCTAAATGCGTCCTTTCGCGTTGATGTCCCTTGACAACCCCAATGGCGAATGAGAGGGCTATGCTCCTGTTCATGCAGGAACACCTTGTGGCGGGACTGTGACAGGATAGAGAATGTGGAGTAATCGAACAATGAATGGATCCTCGCCCTTGCCCAAGACCCTTCTAGTGTTTGCAGTATGTCCAGTGAAGAACTGTTGGCTATACCTCTTGTTTTCGAGAAAGAATCGAAACCAGAAACCCAAAACTCGGAGCGACAGTATTGGAAAAAAAGACTTGGTTGGAATAAAAAAGGGACCAGGACGGCTATCCAGAGCGCACCTAGGCCAAACGAGCGCAAAAGAACGAAAAGAAGCGAAACAAGCCGGAGCACAGCAACCGCTACCTCTATTACCAATGACTTAAAGGAAAGAAGGTGAACGACAAACAACAACAACAAGAGGTTGAAAGGGAAAAGGGAACCGTCACAAGGTCGCACCAGGGAGTGGACATGGGGGGGGCGCGGCATCCAAGAACCAGGCTGGTCATCATAACGCGAGAAAGCATTGAACGCCATGCGTTTCCGCGACGAGTGGCGTATCAGACTTTGATCGCTGTGAGGGTGAAACACGACGTCCAGCGATCCTAGGCTGTGTCACGGACCGCGTTCGCGTGCATCAGATCTGGATGTCTGGCTAATTGTGGCCTGTAGTTGTTGACCGGAAGAAGGGTGCGGGTAGCAAAATGGCCAGGCCGGATGCGCGCTGGTTGGCTGAGATAAAAACAACTTGAAACGTCTACCCCAATCAGGAACGTATAGCTTACCAACTAAGCGGTTACTATTTATGTGCAACGCGACATCATATAGCAGCATAAAGATGCATAACATTAAATCTCCATGTTTGTTGACTTGTGTCTAACTCTGCTATTGACAGTGATGTTATGACACTGTTCAAAAACTCCGTCTCGTCGACACGTCTTTCTGTTGTTCCTCTCGCTTCCTTGTGGTTACTGAAGACTGTTGTTACATGCGACCTCCCAACCCTGTCAAACGTCGCACCGGCGTATCCAGTCCTATACATAAACAACGCCCTTGTGACGTACCGTGGGGCCGGAAGTTCAACTCGGGCCTTTCTCCACAGCTTTCATCCCGGGGATTTTAATCTCGAAGCAAATTCGCGTAGCCAAGTTGCTTCACCTCCACATTCACTTGCCTAGCTCACCTACCATGAGCTTGCGATCCGAGGATGCGGAGAGCACTAGGATTGCCAAGTCAGCTTCGTGCTTCGTATTGAGGGGTAAAGGGTGTCGAAACGCTTGTTCAAGAGGAGTTTATGCAGTGAAATGTCCTCGTCGCCGCCTCAAGCGCTGAGCGAAGAGGATGTGAGAAAGCTTGGAAAAGCCTCTCCGCAGAGCCTCCCCGCTTTGATCGCCATAGGGCTGGGATGATGAAGCGTAGCGTGAGGTCTAGAACAGATACTTGGGCGAAAGCGAATGCGAAAGAAAGTCTGGTGCACTTACAGATTGGTTCACCGAGCGGGTGGAACCGCACATCGTTGACAGCACCTCGATGGCCAGGAAGCTTGTTCAACAGCTTTCCTGTCCGCGTCTCCCAGACGGCTACGCTCTGGTCTCCGCTCCCAGCAGCAATCTTCTCTCCCTTGGAGTCCCAGCTCGCCTTGAGGAGGTTGCGTTCTTGGCCGGTTGGGGCACCGTCGTATGTCTGAATGCGCCTGTCTGCAGGCGCAAATGGTCTCACATCCCATGTCCTGACAGTCGAGTCGTGTGCGTTGGATAGGAGAGTTTGATTGTCAGGAGACAATTGGAGCGAGGTGACGGTATCCGTGTGACCCAGCAGCGTGTAGGTGACGGCCTGTTTCCGTAGATCCCAGACCTTGATGTCGTTGTCAATACCTCCGGTGAAGAGCTCGTTGCCAGCTTCTGCCAAGCATATGGCGGTTATGGGGAAGTCGGTGGGGATGAATGTCACGGCGTCTTTCGTTCTCGTGTCCCAGATCTGGAAGAGTCAGAAATGCTCGACAAGTATATGTTGATGCACTCACGCCGATGTAGCCGTCGTCTGAGCCGCTCACGAGCATCTCCTCACCACGCTTGCTCACGTCCATGCAGTTGATGACCTCTTCGTGCCCGGGGTGTCTTCGTATCCTCTCTCCCGTCTCGACGTCCCAACTGGCCAGGTGCATATCGGCCGAGGCGGAAAAGAGGACCTTGGAGTCGCGCGACCAGTGCAGATCAAGCACCGCTTGCTTGTGTCCCGTTAGAATGCCGTAGTTTTCGCATGATGCAGAGCTGCGCCAGAGTAGTATGGATCGGTCCATGGAACCGGACGCTATGTACTGTCCCGTCGGATCGAATCGCGCTGCGAAGACTTCGCCAGAATGGCCCGTCAATTCCATGACCGGCGACTGCAGCGCGCTGGTACGCGACCCCTACAGCACCTGTCAGCACGTCGACATCTTCAGCTTGGTACTCTATCATAAGTCCTTGGTTGTAACATACTGCTTGTATAA